CATTCTGATGTTCCCTGCTATGTACACGTGGAAAAACAGGCTTTATTTCCCAAAGCAGCTGAGGATGTTGGAAGCCAAACTTGCAGCTGAAGGCTCAGCAGGAAGGTGCACAGAGGAGATCATTACTTTTCCCATCTATCCTTTATTTTTCAATTCTAGCAGCTTTCATTTTGTTGCAAATAGTTTTGGCTACAGTTCCGCCGCCTCTTATGTTTACTCAGTCAAACCATTAAAAATTAATGAAGTGGGTGCACTATTGATTTCAGAAGGGCCCTTTGCACAGCATCCCAACTCAAACACTGCTCCTGTCAGGGAAATCTGGGGAGAGGCAATATTGTTAGTGTGTAATCCAGCCCTGCACTGTAGACAACACAGAAAACCTCTGCAGACACAGCACATGAACTAAGCTTCAAAAGGCTTTTTAAGAGAGGCTAAGATTTATTACTTTTTTTAAACACAAAATCCCCCCCTAAAACTTTTAAGTGTAAAAGATTTCCATGTTCAAGTACCTAATGGAAAGGTAAGCAGGGATGGAAAATCTCCCAGTGCTTCTAGTTAGGGACTAGTATTTTCTTCCTCTTCCCGTGTGTTACTGCTGGCAAACAATGCCATGTTTCATCAGCTGCACGTGTTCTGCTTCCTACAGGAGCTGTGCTAATGCAGAGTCCCACGTGGCACCAGGCAGGGTGGGGGAGGCTGAAGGCAGTGCAGAGAAGGAGGAATTAACATTATTTCTAAAGTGCCAGGAAGGATGCAAAGCTCAGACAGAAATGCAGGATGGAAGGAGGACACTGGTGGAATGAAGGCAAACATCAAAAAGTATTTCACAGACACATGGACTATATATATAGGTCTTTATATGTCTAGTATATATGTCTGTGAACACATAAACTATGTATATATAAACCTTTATATACATCAAAACATTTTGATATTTTCATGGTTTTTTTTATATATATCTAAAAGGTGAGTGCAAAAAAATAAGCCTAATAATGTATCTGCAATCACATACCTCCTGGGGAATGATCACCTCCAGGCTGGATTCAACCACCATGTTAATTGTGGCAATGAAACAAAACAGCATTAAAAATTAAATCAAGTATCACCATACCATATTCAGATGTGTCACCTTGATGTGAAAGGGACTTTAGGACTCCAACCCGGGAAGTTCTGGGGGAGTAAGAGAACTCCCGTTCTTTGGCGTGCCCAGCCACAGGTGTCAGCAGGACTGATGCAGTCATGCTGTGAGTCTGGAGCTGCTGACAATTCTGTCATTGCACTGCACTTAACACCAGTGAGAACAGGCAGTTGAAACAATCCATCCACCAAACACACATCCTCCTCCAAATTAACGCACAAAATCCAGCATTACTGTCACATGATAAAAGAATGATTTATTAGAGCAACTTTATGATAAAATTATATAAAATAACAATTTGGTTTTTTAAAGACATCCACAATATCACCTTGAAACAAAATGTACAGATATTGCCTATAATCCAAACAAAAATAAATTACTGTTCAAAAAAAAAACCAAAACAACAAACCAAAAGTGGAAAGAAATCATGGCAGAAGAAACAAATCAAAATTATACACAGCATTTCAAGAGGGTGTGGAAAAGAGTCATTAATTGATTCAAGTTATACAAACGTGTTTCAGCTTTACTCTCAGACAGCTCAGCTTGCATTTGTGTTGCATGCAAATGGAATGATCCAGTGAACAGTTCAGAACAGCAGAATCAGCAGCATAACAACAGCAGAGAGTGAAATAGGCACAATTCAGCACGGGGCACATTGAAAGTGAACAGGTAGTTCTGTCTGGTCTTTGCAAAAGTTATACACATTTACCAACTTCAAAAATAGCTAGTGTGATCTGCAAAACAAGAAAAATCTAGTAGAATCTTGCACTTAAATACTTTACACTTTTTTATCTTTTTTTTTTGTCTCCTTTTTTGTCAGTAGGCTGTATGTAAACATTCCACTAATTGTACCTTTACTAAAACACTCAAAGATGATGCAGACGTTCTTTCCTCCTGGAGCATGACCACAACATGACACCACCACAGATCCAGCTGGGTCCTCCCTCCCAAAGCTCCTACACACCCTCACAGGAATTTACATTCACGCCATCAGAACAGATTAACAGGATTTTACATTTGAAAGCGTCGAACTGAAAAGTTTTCAAGTATAGTGGAAGAGCTGAGGGCTGGGATTTTGGAAGGTGCTCAGGGCATCAGGCACCCAAAGCATATGGAAAACCCAAAAGGACCTGAGCACTTGCTTCCCCAAGACTTGGAAAATCCCACCCTTTGTTACATTGCTTTAGTCAGACACAAAACACATGAAAGCAAGGTGGCATGGGCGTGACACACAGAGCAGCATCACCCCTGCCAAGCTCAAAGCAGGGCCCATCCACAGCTCATGGAAGCCAGCAGGAATCTCGTGCACTGATCCTGGGCCTCCCAAATACACCAGTACACATGGGTCAGGTTCACATTGGAGTCACATAGGCATGTTTCCATGGTTGCAGACAGTACTGCTTGTAAGAACCAACAATCAGCAAAGGAGTGGATAGCTCTTTGGCTTATCTGGAGCAGACAAGTGCAAACCACAGTACTTCAGAAGCAGTGAACACAAAAAAAAAATATGTTGCGTTTCATTGTTGACTAGCTAAACCTTTTCAAATGCAAAGATCCAAGAATGAGCATTTTACAGTTTGGCTGAGTCACAAATAAAACAAATCAAGCTGTGCATCCTCCCTGCCTTCACACACTCATTTCCAAATTATCAAGAGACACTGATTGTTGCATCCTCATTAGTCACCTGAAGAGGTACCATATTTTGCAGGTTGATTTAATTGATGCAAGGTGTCTGTGGGCTCGCTCTCTAGTTCAGAACAGAGCAACCAAGGGAGAAAATCCCTCCCTGATGTGTTCAAGAATCAAAGAAGAATCAAGCAATTTTCAAGTGAAAGTAAACAGAAGTCCCATCAAGGACACATTGGAGAGAAACAGAATCCACTTGCGCATAGCCATGAAGATGTGGAAATAACAAATAATCAGAGAAGTCAGATGTACATCTTAGTAATTCACTTGTCTCTACAGCAAAACTGAAACTAACAGCAACACCTTATCTGTGAAGGTCCTTCAGCTCCTAGTGAGTTGGGGTAGCACCTGGTCAGTTCAAACCCGACTAAGAAGGGCTTGAAAAATTGTGTCTCATATGTCAGGAACGATACCACCACTTAGGATATTCACCAAGGACACAGTCAGGTATTTCAAGAAAAGACAGATCAGAATCAACGACTGAATTAACACATTCAGATAGTGCATATATTACAGGCAGAACAACATCAAGGGCAAATTCTTTTTATTCTGCATTCATCTATGTGAAGTCCAGCAGATTTCTTCATGGAAGGGCATCTCCACACAAGCAGATGAGCTTAAAGTCTACTGGAAATCTCTGAAGGATATCTGCACCTACTATTTACCAGCCAGCATCTTGCAGGCTCAAAAATAAAGTAATGGCATGTTGACATACTCCCATTTTGGGACCGATCTTGTCTCTGCTGAAACTGATGGAAAGCTCTCACTGGCTTCACCAGGAAAGCAATCACCTTCTTCACTAGTAAGGTTAAACATTTTGTGAGCATCCCTATTTATTTAAATTATTTTAACAGGTTCCCACTGTTACAACATACTAGCAGAAAAGCTCAGGTAACTACTGAAGCTAACTAAGGAATCCACTACTCACCCCAAAATATAGAGTCAGCACACAAGAAGCAGTCAAGCTTGGGAAACCATTTTCACTGCTTAAACTACATACTGTATGAGGGCAAAGTGGAACTCATCTGCTCACCTTTCCCAGTAAATGTATCCTCCACAGCTAGAAAATAATTTCTTTACCTGATTACTATTTGTTGACCTGGAAGAATGAAAAAGGAATCGATACAAGACAAAAAAAAACAAAACCTGGGAGCAAAAACATCTGAAAGAGATCCCCTCAAAACCAAAACTTACACTCTTAAAGCAACAAAAATTGCTTAGTGTTTTGCAGTTTAACACAAAGACAGAATATAAACCCCCAACTTTTGTTAAGTAAGAAATTGCTCAAACAACTGTACACAACCCTTAGTGTTTCTAGGATTAGAACAGACCAAAAATTAAATCCAGAGACAAAAATCCCAAATGTACCAAGTGCTTGACACTGATGAACAGTTTCTAGAGAACACCACAATGGTGGTCTTTGCAAGCACTTTTGCATTGAAAAAAAAAAAATTCATAACAGAACTAGCCATAAAGGTGGAGCTACATTGAAGCCATTATTTTTTCAGTGCTGTCAAGTGATTGCACTGGTTCACAGCAACTGTGTAATTAAGTTTATTCCATGAGCCATTGGAACAGATGGTTTTCTTTGCAATTGGGTAATTACAAACATCTTAGTCTTTGGCCCAGCCAAGAGCATTTGTAGCTCATTATGAAAAGACTGTATATTTAAATTAAAAAAGAAAAGCAGCTTAAAGACAGCATTTGTACCAAAATCATGAAAATTTGGCAAGCTAAATTGTAAAATCGAACTTTTTGTACCTACCCCAAACTTTGGGTCTGAAATGTTATCAAAAATAGTAGCTGATCAGTAGTCTTTACATTCATACCATTATTAACTTTTACACTTTCCCAAGAGAAAAAACAGAAGGGTTTATTCTGTCTTGTTTTGGTTTCTGGACTGAAAAACAGATGCACAACTTCAGTGTGGTTGCCTTTTTATGACTGCTGAAAGGAAATTTTACACAACTGCAGTAAGGGTTTCTCTCAGAAACCCATGATATTGCACAACCTCTGTTGTTATTGTTCTGTTGGATTTGCAAGTTGATTCCAACAGAGTTGTAATGCTTCACTTGTACACTTCAAAAAAATTCAATCAAATAAAACCCAAACAAATATAGTACCAAAAAGGTGTGGGGTATTTTTTCAAATTGAGCCTCATTACAACTGAATTACAACTGAATAGTTATAAACAGGCCAGTGCAAGAACACTTTAGCCTCAGCATACTGAATGGAAAATATGCAAAGCCTGTTTTCTTATGGCACACTGGAAGAATGAGTAATTTTGTAAAAATCAGTTTGCCTCTGTGCTGAGTATGTGCTGCTCCACAGTGCTAGTCTTGTTTAAAAGGCATACACAGACTTTCCATTCACCCTCACAGCATAGATTTTTCTTTTTTGTGCAACATGTTAGCAATCTAAACAACTGCTCCACACAAACTGTCCACAAACCACTCATACACAATACTAATGCGACAGTAGATTACAGTATAACAGCAATACAAAATACTGTATCAGATCACATATTTCTCTCCATCTGGAATGAAATTCGAATCTTGTAAGCTAGAAGACCCACAGTTCAATTTCTGAGCGTAGTTTCTCATCTGTGCTAGGGACAAAGTCTCCAGTGTGGACCCAGAATTGTTAGCAGTCCTGACTTTAGTGGCTGTAGATTGTTTAGCAGCAGAAGATGCTTTGTTACTGGCAACTATATCCAAGTTTCCAGTAGGGTCAATGATAGCATTTATGACTGGAAGAGAAAAAAAGTAATAAAAACACATTAGCACCAAATTATCTAAACAGAAGTTTGCTGCCCTCATTTTGAAGGCAGTAGAATCGTAAGCAGTACTGTTGTTCATTTTAGTCAGGTTATTTTCCTCATTAGTACCTTCAGGTCTAAAGAGTTTTAACAAGCAAAATCACTCCCAGACAGCAGAGATGTGGACTCTAAACTTTCTGGTTAAATTGGAAAAGACAAACTACAGCAGCCAAATGGCAAGCTTTTATCTGGAGCCCAAAATTATGTCTGGATGTTTTTACATGCTTTTATTACACTTTTAGATGATGTAAGAGCTTGTATTTTCCTAATGCAGATATCATGTGCAAAATTCAAGTCAAAAAAGCATAGCACAGCTTATTAGCTGGAAGAGCTGCTAAATATTATTTCATCAGAACACTCCTGCACCAGTTTATCTTATGTGAATACGCTAAATACCACAAACAAAGCATTTCCACAGCAACAGCTGCTACATTTCAATAGTCAAAAATTTTCCTAAAACCTGGCAGTATAAGATAGATCTACTGTTAATTCCCTATGCACTCATCAGAGAGCACTGTGGTAACAACCTGTACTTCTGCATCCTTTCCCAGCTTTCATTGATAAATCAGGCCAATATCACTTTATTTTGTGCAGTTTTACTGGTATTTGAGAGACAACAGGAGTATTTCAGATGACCAACCTTCAAGCTGTTTCTGAACTCGCCTGAGCTCCTTCAGGATAGAACTGATTTCCTAGAAACAAAAGCATCAGAATAGAAAATTAAGCAACAAAGTACTCAACTGACACAGGAATCTAATCTTACTGCTTCTGCCTTATCTGATCAAGAAGATGCAAAGTCAGGCCCAAGTTTTCTCATTTAACAGAAAAGTTGCATTGAGGTGCATTTGGTCAGTGTATGGGAAGCCTGCTCTGCATCCTGTCACCGAGTGTTACTACACCACCCATTCATAGCCACTGTAGCTTTTAGATATGAAATGCTACACCTGTACAAAGACTCCTTTTTAATATGAAATACACAGAGATATTTGTAAACTCAGCTCCTAGACCAGACAAGTCACTTGTCCACATTTACACTGCTGCAGCACCAAGCTACACAGGTCTTGGCACAAGGTTGTTTAGCATTAATCATATTTGCTGGGTTCACTACCGTACTTAAATCCTTACTGACAATCCCCTTCAAGGACAATGGAAGGTCATGAGAGCACAATCACCATCTTGAGGCTGAATCATCTGAGTGAATTCACCCTGAGGTAGATTTTTACTACCCTAATATCAAACAGTTACAGGTGAACAAAACAAACTTTCATGACAAACACCTGTCTGCAACTGAAGCTGTGGCAACCACATGGTAGGTGACCCTTAAGTAAATGTTTAAATGAGGCCTAATGATCCTGAACTTCAACATCTGTTAAGAGACCCAGTCTTTGAAGATCAATTGCAAAGGAACTGGGAAAGAGTTTGGTGAAACAAAACCACAGAAGGAACTCACATGATCACACTTCAAACAGCAACGAAACCTAGGAGTTCAACACATGAAAATGGACCAGAAATTTCAGAAATGGATTTAAGAAGGGTTGAGGTTGCTGGTTTGGTTTCTTACAAAGCTTTCATGGACCTAAGTCTTTAGTATTTCACTTGTTTGCATAGACTTACTTTGTTTGACGTCTTCAGAATTGGCACTTCATTTTCTGAATTGATTTTGGCCTCCATCTCCTCCCAGGTCCTTTCTGAGTTTTGAAACAGAATCCTGTAACACAAAAAGTAGAGCAGATCTTAAAACTGCCATCAAAAAACTGCTTGTTTAAAAGGCTTAATTATCACAAGATGTGGCAACAAAAGAGATTAGTGGATTAGCAGCTGGACAAAGCTCCTTTCAGCTGATTTAGGAACAATCCAAAGTCCTTCCCTAGCTGATGTCTCTAGAGCAACAACAAACTTTGAAAATATTTCACAAGCTTGGTAACCTGCATATTTACAGGAGCCTTGGTACAGAAAAGGAAAGAAGAGACAATCCACTAATTTTCTGCTGTATCTCCTGCACTGGCAGAATTTCAAAGCCACAGCATCAACAGGCATTACAAATCCAGCCGTTAAAATTCCAAAGACCAAAGATATGAGGAAAAGTGATAGCAAATAATCATATTACCTCTGGTTCACTACACACACAATTTCCTACATCTACATTCCCTGCATCCTGATTACAAAACTTTCCAAGACAACAGTACAATATCTTCCACAAGTAGCAAGTCAACAAACTCACCAGCAAGTCAGTATTTCAGGCTGGGGACAAGAAGTTACTTACTTCATTTTTTCAGCGAGGTTTTCCGTGTTTTCACGGATTGTATGTGATAACTGGGATACTGGGTTCAACATCAAATTGTCGAAGATTACCTAAAATATGGGGACAAATTGGAGAACTTTTAGCAAAAGCAGCATATTACGAAACAGGAACTTTTAGTACAGTAAATGATCTTCACTGAAACATCTTTGTTTGTGTGGATGATAGCTGAAGTTCAAGGGAGATTAAGATGATGTGCAGCTTTATTGCAGCACTTTGGCAAAAAGGCCAATACTAACTTGTTCAGACTTTTTCTAGAGACAGAGACACAGCTGTTTGCACTAACATAAGCATTTAAGCATTTCTGAAAGAACAGTACTTGGGACCTCACAAAAAAAACCCCAAAAAGTCAAATCACAATGCAAGAAGCCTAAGAAGCAGTCTCACTGAAACTACCTAATGTGACACATGTGAGTTCAAACCACCTTCACAGCCAGGTATCCCAGCATGTTACATTCTGCTTTATTAAAAGTAAAACAAAACACTATCAAACCCTAGATATTCAAGTGCTGTGGCTTAGCAGAGCCTGCAGGCTTCTGCCAAGAAAGCCCACATCAAGCTGGGGGCCCTCTGAAGCTGCACCTTTTTTCCAGCCTTGGCACTTCTCTACAGGAGAGGAAGGGATTGCTTCAAAGCAGTCACAGGACAGTATCAGTACCAGTGGCTCAGCCCACGGTCCCCTGTGTGAGTCACACTCCACCTCCAGAGTGGCTGTGCTGGAGCCAGCTCTCCCCTCCTGCCTGCACTGCCTCCCTGAAGCCTCTGCCCCAGCTCTTCCTTCCCACCACAGCTGGCAGGCAGAAGGCAAGCAGGAGTGACAGCCAGTGCTGGATCAGCAGCTTTCTCCTCCTCCTCCTCCTGGCACCATCACCCCACTACACCCCTCATCCCAACACCATCCCCAGCCTCAAGTGCAGGCCAGGCATTCTCAGCCTTCAGCATCACCCTAGTGATTTGCAGGTTACCCTGCTCTCTCAGCCCAGAAGAATGACATCAAATTGCAAACGCTGGAGGGAGCAATGCTCACAGACTGCAGGGCACAGCAAGCCAGCTGTGCCACAGCAGCAAGCCCAGTCACACACACCCCTCCTAAGGTCCAGATCCTGCCACTGCTGCTCCATCAGCAGCTCTAACCAGGATGCCAGCTGCAGAACAGTAAGGTGCCATTAAACTATCAGTGCTTCAGATTCCCAAGTTGAGATGTTTGAGTTCTTCTCTACGATGGCAGTGAAATAGCCTAAAGAAGGCTCTGACATTCCCAAAAACCGGTGACCAAGCCTCAGGTTTTACTGGCATTTTACACAAGAGAGGAAATTTCCAGTCACTACTGGCAAGAGGGGTGGTTCTGTTCCTCTTTTTTCCTTTTAAACACTGTTTCTTTACCCACACATCAGGGCTGTTGAGAAGTGTGGGGTTTTTTTTTGGAGTAGCCTCCTTTGGCAGCTTATAAAGAACAAGCATACATACAGCAGCTCAAAGCAATGTCATATATAAAGTAAAGAAAAAGGTGACCTGCCTCCTCACGGTTTCTTGTCCTTGTTTTTCTTGAGGGATCCTCTTCTCTGTTATCGTTCATGTTTTGGTCAAAATCCTTCAGTTCCACTGATCCTGGAGGCACTTTCTGGTAGTTCAGACTTGCTTCTGGAATGTGCTGCACCAACTTGGAAATAATGAGTCATTAAAAATTAGTAGGGAAATTAAGCTCACAGGCATTCACTGCAGATATTGCAGATTTTCAGGCAAGCCCGAGAGGAACACTGATTCATTTAAGTCTTGTTCAGACAGGTATGGGCTCGTAAGCAAATTACTAGACCCCAATCCTGCAACTGCCTACCCACTGGAGTCATACCACAAAACTCTGTGGGGCTATTCTACTTTAAAATTTTGAGTCTTGAGCATGTATGGAAAAGTATATCTTTGTATTTTTTGCATTTAGGTAAGACTCAAAAGGACCCTGTTTTCCCATATCTTACGTCTTAATATATCAATGCAACATTAAAGACACACTCAAATTAATCAGAAACCATTTAGTAACACATGAAGGAGATGAAAAAGCAACACAAAACCACTAAAAATGCAACTAATTAACAGGAAGAACAGAAATGACAAGACAATTACTCCTGCTGGGTTTACTGACAAAAACTTTAAAAGAAGGGGAAGAAAATAACAGTGACGAGACAGAGATACAAAAACAATGGGATGGAAAGTGCACCTGAGATGGATATGCCAGCCGAAAAGATCTACGAGCAATCTGTGTTAAAACAGAAACAAAGAGATCAATGCTAGTGAATGACTGTGACAGCAAGTATCAAAGAGAACATGGGGTTTGGGGTTATTTGGGGTTGACATTCCCAAAAGCGCATTCCTGAGGACCAGCACTCAGTGCCCACCCCCCCATCATGCACTGAAGCCCTTGGAGATCCTGGTCACCAGCCAGTTCTGCTGAGGTGGCCTCAGGCAGCTCCCCAGTTACTCCAAACCAGACTGTGCTGAGTGAAATCCTGAGCCCTCTGGGAAAGGGCTGAACATCCAGCCCAAGAGGCTCTTTGGTTGGCAAAGCACACAGCTCCTTGTGCGGAAACCATGTGCCATCCAAAGTCCAGGCTCCCCACACTATGCAGTAGCACTTGGGTTATACATAGGCAGCAGGAGAGAGATATTATGGTGCAGGGCCACAACAGCCAAAATGTTTGGCTAATAAGCTTCCTTTCATCAATTGCAGAAACAGTAAGTTAGACTGCTTGCAGCAGTGAAAGTGTCAGAAGGGAATGAGATGTTCCTACAGTGAGCAGGTCTCAGCACAACCAGCTGAAAACAAGGTAAGGACAGCACCTGCTCCACCATCACTGGAGATTTTTGTACATGACCTGTTCTGTTCTCACATTTTCTATTCCATCACACCTGTAAGCATTTCCTCTTGTGTACCAACATTCACACTGAGTATGTTACACAACAACTTAACAAACTTAATCAGGCTCTTTAGTTTTTGTTACATCCTTATCAAATTTCCTTAAAAACACCCACCAAAAGAATTTTATATGCAGGGCTAAAATTCTCAGAAGTAGCCAGTGATTTTGGATGACCCAACCTGACTGTGTTTGCAGCAGCTGAGGTTTAAGTTTGATGGATGAACTCTGCAGAAAGCTAGGTCCTGCAAAACCTACAAACCCACAAAGCAAGGCATCCCAAACAACCCAAGGCTTTGGTAAACAGGAATCATGAAGGTTTCACCCTTGCTGAACTCTTTCTTTTGATCTGTTTGATTTCGGTTTTTTTTAATTTGCTTAATTTGTAGCAGTACTCAGCCCTGTATGCCAAGAATCTATCTTATCATAAACTATACAGCTGAGGCTAGAAAAACAAAACCACCCCAAACATGCACTGGGGAAATGGAAAGCCTCCCTGGCAAACATCCAAGGCAGCACTGAACCTGAAAGGACAGACCATGTAGATTAGGGTTTAAATTGAAGGCTCCACCTTAACTTGTAAGAGGATACTCCTTATTTAAACTTTAACCAAGCTTCTTAATAAAAGTAATTTAAAAAGCAGTTCATTTAAGGTTGTTGAGAAATGCTGTGCCATACACTGGTCCCAAACAATGCTTCTGGTACAGCATTGAACACTCAAGAGTGATTCCAGTATCAGTACTTATTCTTCCTGCATTTTCCCCCACTTTTTTGGAATAGATATAAATATTTAGTATTGTAATGCAGAATGGCATACAACACTGCATAAGCCAGAGCAGCATAAGAGACAGGCACACAGAGAAAACTTTTCTTAGTCACATAATCTCTTTTATCAGATGTTTCAATATATTACTATTATAGCCACGGTAGCTATTTCTCATCACTATGTCCTTTCCTAGAATATTTAATATAAAGTTGTTTGATAAGCACTCACAAAATTCAGAGTGCTTAGCATCATTTACACTGATTTTCAGGCATTTTCCAGAAGCTTCTTTGCATCAAACCAAAGTTATTAATTCAGCACAGTTTCAACAACACTCTGACTGTGGGAAGCAGGTGTGGCAGTGCTGAATCTGGTCCACTACCAAAGATGAGGTGTCTGTTCATTGAACTCACATCAGTTTATATTGCTGGCATTCATAACAAGCCCCCCAAGCTGAACTGTTTAGGATCCCACTCCACATCTCAGCACTGCCAGCAGAAAGCCCTGCTCATGGAAACTGTTCTTGGCTATTGTGATAATGTAAGGCAGCAACACTGATGCACTGTGGCATTTAGGGCGTAACTCAAGTGGCCTGCCAGATGCTGGCCCTGCTGAAATCATGCTGATATCCACTCCTGTTCAGAGGAAGCCTCATTATAAGCCTTTAGAATGTTTTCAGCCACTACCTGAAAACACCAAAGCTTATGGCTCCTGATCTGTCCTCACAGGCTCCCATCAGTGCTTTGTCCTCCACACTCCTGCAAGATCTCAAAAACTGCTCTAGCAGTGGGCACTGCCAGGAGTATTCCCAACAGTGAGACAGTTCTGAATTTGCTCTCCTGACTATTGTGTGGGACTGTGGCATGTCCCACACAGCAGCACTACAAAGCCAAAGAAACCCTCACCCAGGTCCGAGCAATCCTGGGTTTGTGATTCTGCCATTCAGCATCATGCTCTGGAGCCTGGCATTTTGCACAGAGCAGAAACACCATATTGCAGGTGTCTTCCTCTAGCAGCTGGGAACATCCCTCTGTATCAGCTGACTTATGGTTGAACCCTTCAGTGGCACTCCAAAAAAACAGCAGAGACACTGCTCCTCCTCCTCCCCTACTTTTCTGCAAGCAAGTGGGAGCCGAGTAAAATGTTCTACTTGCAAGTCAGAAGTGCAGTCACCTTTATTGCTTGGAAAGAAAAATACAAAAGGCAGCTTGACAGGCGTGGCATTTGCAAGGAAACAAGGCAATAAACCACTTTATCTCAGAGCTGGCAGTTATTGTGAAACATTTGTGCACTTTGGCACCAATAAACCCCTCCCTGAGCAGGCTGCAGCTGACCTTGGTTTAGCACAACCACAGCCACACTGGTCTCATCTTCTGGGTATCTCCCTAAACTTCTGCTTTGCACCTCTAGTGCTGATCACAGCAGGGTCACGGGGCCTCCAAGGACTCTCTTGGCAGAATAACAAGTTTGGTCTCAGCTTTGAACCCTGCCCCGGGTCTGCAATTCTCACAACAGTCAAAGACAACAGGGGGCCAGGGGAACCACCTGAGCAGCAGAGAGCTGTGTATGTTTTAAGTGCTGGTGGTACACAGGAGGCAATTTGGATTTAAACAGTAGCAAAGGCAACTTTGCTTTAGCTGCTGAAGCCTCCTGGTGACCTTGCAGCTAAATTTGAGCTGAGCTGGTCCCTGCACTGCAGCACTGGTGAACCACATGAAGAAATTGCCTCCTCCTTCCCAGCCTAGTGCAGACAAACTGTGCCATACAGTTTGGGAGGAAGCCACAGCTTCACTGAAGGGCTGGGAACTGCACTTCCCAAGCTACCTGCCTGACTCCCTGCCCATCTCCAAGGATCCTTGCCCCCTCTCCATCAACACTCAGACGGAGGGAAGGGATTCAAGCAACACCTGCACAGCATTTCAACAGTCCTGGCAGAAAGGACACAGCAGAGGTACAAAACACACAGCTGACAGGGAGTGCAGCCAGCGTACACGATCAGTGCCTTGTGTGAAACAAAGAAGAAGGCTCTGGCTCCCTGGCACAGCAGCAGAACACATCCCCTCCATCCTGTTCCTCAGATGCAAATTTCAGGGGCCAGTGTCCAAATAGAAGCCTTGAGAAGCTTATGAAATTATATGATTCCCATACCTTGCAAGGCTGGCTATGGCACAGCAGCCAAAATAAAGAGCACCCTAAACAGGCTGCAGTTGGTCTTTCTGGTGCTGCTTTTTCAGAGGACAAGGAATGGAAGTTTTTCAGTGCTGCAGCAACTGGGGATGCTGCCCTGGTCTTCCACCCCAACCATGTCCCGTGTACTTACTAGCACAGAGAGGCAGAGCTTTCTGTGACTCCTTACCTCTTCCCTCGCGGATATGGTGGAAGCCGGAGTGTTGGGCACAGAGCTGAAGGAGGAGCTCGGTCCCGTCCCCGAGGAGCTCTGTGAGTCCCCATCTCCAGCAACATCATGAATCTCTCGGGCAAGGATGGCCACATCCTTCACCAAGGTTTGGCTGAGCCTAAAGCACAGGCAACGAAGCACAACCATTAGGACACAGGATACAACATGCCTCATATTAATAAAATATAAAAAGAGAAGCCACAAAACGTTTGTGGGAACTGTATCCTCTGCAGAGGCTAGGGCAAGTGGGGCTTTTTGGGGTGCCTTGGCAGGGTGCTGAGGAATGTTCTGGCTGCATACAAAATAAATTTTCTTCCTTCCTGAATCCAGCTTCAAAGTGGAGAATTGATATAAAGCAAATTCTAGTGACTACACACTGCCAGAAAGTATTGGAGACAATCCATAAAGAAATTTTACATTATTGCTCCCCCACCCATCCACTCTACATCTTTCTCTTGCTTGTTAGTTTTTTCAATACAATACAGTTCATTTCTCTTCTTGGGTCCTCTTCGTTTTCCATTAAAAAGTACATAAAGGAGAAATTTATTTTTTTTTTTTACTTAAAGAAAAAAACCTTAATTTCTCTTTCCTTTTCCTTGTGGTCTGTAGACTGAAAATCACAATATGCCTCCACATTCTCCAGAAGAGCTGAGGGATTATGAGGATAAGTATAGCATACCTTTGAGGGATCTGGTTTTCAGAAACCAGATCTTGAAACCTCAAGCCCCTTGACAGGCGTCCAGTTAACACTTGGTGTTGGCAGCACCTTGCTCTACCTGCTCTAGAGCTCAAAAACAGCTCCTAAGTCTGGATTGTTGGTAGTACAGCTTTAAAAAAACCCATTTAGACCAGAAGTAGCTGTTGTGGTAATTTTAAAAGAAAACTTCCAAGAGAAAAAATAATCTTACAGGTAGTTGGCTTCATCTGAAACAACTGTCTTCTTTTAATGGAATAAAACAAAACAACCAACTAAAAAAATCCCCAAAATACTCCACCTAACAGCAACAAAAACAACATTATTATGGAATATTCCAAGCTGGAAGGGATCCACAAGGATAACAAGCAATGCGATAAAACTGTCAGTTCATCAAAACATTTCCTTGGAAAGAACAGGCATAGTTGAATTAATAAAATGCAAATTAAGCTGCTTGCATAAGGTAACCCCTCTCTGTGCTGGTTTGGACTGAGCTGTCACCAAACACTTCCATTATGTGATTCAGTACTATAAACAAGTGGCATTTTCCCTTTTAACTCTCCCTGACTCCTCTAAACCCCTCCCAGTTAATTTGGGAGCAGCAAGGGAAATCAGAACTGCAATTACCAGGCAGAGTCTGGGGCAGAGCTCTGCACGGTGCAGCGCCAGACGAGTCTGACGCAACCCTTTATTTATAGCTGCCGAGAGCCGGAGCGCTCCCCAGTGCTGGGAATGCTGCTGGGAGGGAACCCAGCATCTCACACATGCACGCTTCGTGCAGCACAGGTAGAGCAGCCTGATTTGAAGGCTGACACTTTCTAGCAGCTTGACAGCAACTTTCAGGCAAGAAAAGCTCTTTTGAGATGAGCATGGAGCGGTGAGGGAGATGTGGCCAAAAGCAGACACAAGGCAGCGTCCTCAGGCAAAAGTATTTCAAGTATGGCCAGTACAATGGAAGACCAGTATTTCTGGAAAGTTGGCATAACACAGTTGCATATTAGAGATGACAAACCTCAAATGTCACTGTTTAAAAAAAGAATCTATTTGCTTTATTGCTGAGGTCCTCCAGGCAACCATCAGACCACCAGTACACAGCAGTACCGTATCCAGGGACATCAAGCTAAGCAACGATTCATTTATATACAAGGTCTAGACAAGTTCAGATTCGGTTGTGCCAAGCAAAGAGGTTTCTGCCCTGAAGTGATTTCTTACTGCTCCTTCACCGGCTTCAGGCAAAGCAGCTTCAACAGTTTACATATTCAGTCTTTGCTAACCCATTTGACTTCCTCTGCAGAGAATTAGGAGAGTTCACACCAACCATGCCACACACACACTGTGTCTTTCAGCAGAGAGCAGATACGCAGGTATAAAGTTAGACTTCCCACAGCTTGAACAAGAAACAAACCAAGAGACAATGCCCTGCATCTTGGCCTTTTGCAGATACAAGGTAAAACCAGCACATCCAGGCTGTAAAGGTTCATGAAAACCATCCAAGTCAATGTTCAATAAAGGAGATGTGGGCACACAAACAATGGGAGAGAGCCTCTCCTTCTACCCCAACACTTGGGTTTGATTTGAACACCAAGGATAAAACAACCCATTTTCAACACATGGGTTAACAGATAACCCCACCTCACCTGGCTATTTCTGCTATCTCTGCTGTCTGCGCCATGAAGTTGTAGGGGTCAGGGTTGTCATCAAAATCTTCATCGTCATCTGTTTCTCTGCCATTGAGCTTCTGCTTGCCCAGCCCAGAGCCACGTATCCGCGGTGTTTGTGTGGCTGTTGAAGTATGGGAGCGTTTGTGTTTAGGGGAGCTGTGATTTGAGCCATATTCCTCCTCCGAAGTAGAAGTGTAATCTGAACCCTGTGGTCTCCGCCTTGATGCTTATAAAAAATGAATTGGTTTCAGACCGAGGACAGTAGTCAAGAGTAACTACAAAAGGCTGAAAGGTAACACAAAACTAGCCCAAGAGCACAAGGAAAAGAGAGTTTCTGTGCACATCTTAAGTTAAAACACCACATTTTCTGAGTTTATTATTTCAAAGCTGAGCCCCTCTATGGATCCCATTCACTGTACAAATTTGGAGAGGGAAATTCCAAAGGAAAATCATAATGACTGTGTTAATGCCTCCACTGTAGTAAATTATTACCACAGACTTGGCTTTCCATGCACAGAAGCTCTGTGTATAAGTAGCACACATTTCACACTCCTCATAGTCCCACAGAAGTCCTTTTATAAAGAGAGCCCAATTTTCAAGCCTGCAGATATCTTTCTAATTAGTTTCAAGTACAAGAAGGAGGAGGGGCTTTGGAGTAGACAGTGGTGCTTGGTGTTATTTGCAAGAGTCCACACCCTGTGTTCACCTCCTGCCTCGCAATTCACCATTAATGACACTCTACAAGAAAGTGTTCACAGTCAGGACTGGCTCCAAGCCCTGGAGCCAAGTGGAAGCTGTCCACTTATCCCAACTTGTTCTGCAGATCTGTAGACACCCAGATCTTCCTTGCATGGGAAATGTCAAGGTGTCCTTATTTGAAAACTGGGCTCCCAATGTTTGCTGCCTCACTATACTCTCTACAGGTACTGCCTCATTCCCTTCTGTCCATCCCTGGAGAATGAAGGCCCACCACACACAGAGCCAGACGAGTTATTTAGAATTACAACACCAAAAAACTTCACTGTGTTACCAAGACAATCCTAACACTGAAACACTACATGTGAATTAAGCCAGCAACATACATCATACAAACCAAACCAACTAATTTGGCATGTAAGATGCAGGCAGAAAACTATGGGTAATTACTGTATAGTGAAAGAAGTATTCCTAGACATTGTTATCTCATCCATAGCTATAACAATGCCTTGGCTTAGGATTTATATGTGTATAATAAAAATTGATTTGCTCATATTCAATTCATAGAGTTGTATCTCTTTTTTTTTTTAAATGCAGTTTTAGAATCAAGAGGTCACCCTGTCACTGAACAGCAATTTTAAAATGATGCGACTCTTTTTCCATCTCTGTACACCAAGGGAAATCAGAATCATCTCCCTCAGTATCATTTAAATTATCATGAGTAAACAAATTGTGGGAGGAACATGGGAGACAGGCCTTTAGATTTCAGAACTGGTAACTTGGATTATTCTGATGTTATCTGTGACTTTTCACAGAAAGCTACTTCAGATAGCCCAATAATATACTGGCATTTCCTGTCTCACAGGCAGACAGTTTATGCTGTTCCTCCACTAGCGAGATTAACTTTCTCCCACTGGGAGTGTTGGGAACTCCTGTGGTTAGGTAAACGCTAAGAACTCCTGGAATATTTTAGCCACATCTTTATCCCCTAGGCTTCACACTCAAAGCTTTCAAGGATTGCTGTATCATGTCTTGATGGCACAGTGCAATAGTCCAGTTTAACAACATGTCACTCTTGCTGCAGGAACGGAGTTCTAGCTGCTGATTTACTATGTCTATAACAGCATTAGTACAGGAGCATGCATCACAACAAGCACAATGAAGCTTGAAATACACCAGCATGTACTTAGAGCTTGCGCAAGGTTCACAATCCTATCATGGAATTAGGAGGTTAGTATTTTAAGAGCAACTAATTCAGAGGAAGGATTAGCATCATCTGCTGCAACTATGGACAAGGAAAGGTGTTAGAATGCTGCTACAGGGCTGTGGAAATCAAAAACCAATTCATTTGAATAAAGAACTGGCCAACACTTATCATTTTTCTCCAAATGATCTGAAGCTGTGGTCCAAAGGCAGAGGGAGTGCAAAGCGCACCTCCTGTTCGGAAAACTCTGACCACATTATCTTGCTTTAAATTTGTTATTGTTTAACAAGAAGTTAATAGTAGCATCATCTCAAAAAAAGGCAAGAGAAGAAACTGTACATACTCTTTTAACTTAATCACATTCTGATTTACATGCATATACAAGTGTGTAAGAAAAAAAATCACTAAAGTTAAAGGTGAAGCTGAATGAACTAAAACAATCCAAATCAAAACAAGCAGCAAATAACATTTTTAGCATGCAATAAAAATGAATACTGCAAAAGGGATAAATAGTTGAGCTGTATGAAGATATATTAACGGACATCCAGAACTCCAATACCCCTTACAAAATCATGAAGCTGCTGAAAATAGCATTCCTCTCAACAGGACTGAGAAATCCATCCACAGGGGTTTTTCCTGTCCTTTTGGCTACCAATCATTCCTAAAATCCTAAGCAAACACATTTGCTTTGCCACATCCATGGCAGGTCAAGGACTTCAGGCACAGACCTGAACTCACACCGAATGTTTCAGTCAATCTCTTACCAATTACCATTCTAGAGTTGTCATCTGAATTTTCCCACTTCTTAACTGATTTCAATATGACAAATGCTGGTATTTCAAGTGTCTGTTGAGTGCTCAACTACAGGGCAATGTAGTCCCCACACCTCTGCCTCATAGGAATCACAACTATGAACCTGCCTTAGTTATGGCAGAAGTGAGTGAAAGTACACAAAAGTATTTATCTCTTGGGGTAATCACGCAGTGTCCGGCTCTGTATTTACATTTACAGGAAGAACAAGGGAACAGCTTTGACAACACAGGGACATTTATTTCTTGTTCTCCTATTTTAGATGCTTTCAAACCTGCCACCTTGGACTTCAGCTGTCACCAATACCATTATAAGTTCTCTAGGAGAAAACTTTGAATTTTACAAACAGAACAGAACTTCTTGTAGCACTAGAAAGGCATTAAATTCTAATTTTCAAATGAAACTATGGCCAACTGTCAAATGGCAACTTGTTGTTCATAAAACAAAATCACTGGAGAAAAAAAAAAAAAGCTATTTGTAGTGTCCTCACAGACATCACCACATTACCATCTCACTGAGTATGAGAGTGCTCTGCTGTCTCCAAACCCACAGAAAACCTCAACATCCATGCTGCTCATTATTGCAGACTTTTGTACTCACCAAGGCAGCACCTCTACTACTGTGATACTACTCCTTGGCAACCATGTGCAGCCTGTAAGTCAGAAACAGGGGAAGAGGGGAGAAATATAAAGTAGGAGCACTTACAGGATGATGAGGAGGAATACTTGACACTGCTTGAACGGGTCCTGCTGAAAGGCTGCTTGGCAGAGGCAGTGGCTGCCGTTTTCCTGGCTGCAGCTCTCACCTCCGAAACGCCCGTCTTCCGATAGGACTCCGCGCTGCGGCCTGAAAACCCCGTCCTCGACTGCGCCGTCTCCGAGTCACTGGGCACTGTAAATGAACCCGCTCGTTTCCTGGGCATGGCCAGGATGTCCAGCCGGGAGAGCTTCTTTGTCTCCGTGGGCTGCTTGGTGCCCTGAGCAGCGGCGTCCGAGTTGGAGGCTGTTTTCTCAGCATCCACGCATTCGTTGTCTGAAGCATCTCCCAGCCGGGCACGGCGTAGCTTTGAGGCCCTTGTGGGTCGTGGGGTGGATAAACTGTTGGACCGGGTGAGAACCTGCTGGATTTTCTGCACGTTTGAGGTCGTTTTGCTCTGGTCCTCCTTGGTGGCCTGAGTATAAGGTTTCCTCCTGGGAACAGGCCGGGTTACCGAGTGCTCGTGGTCAGACACAACCGCATCTGGGACTGGAAGGTAGGGTGAGTTTGAACTTCTCTCGTCATCTGTGAAGTCAAGTGATCCTCGAGTCCCAGAACTCCGCTTCATCTGGAAGCGTTTGGTGGCCTCTGCTCGGTTTGGTGCCTCTGGCACTTGTGTTTTCCGCTTCTCCGTCAGCCTGTCCCGTGCGCTGGGCTGCCCACACTGGTCCTGGATGGATGGCGTGGAGGAAGATTTCTCCTTCTGCAAGCTCACTACTGCTTTGCGTTTCGGGGCACTTGCTGGGACGTTTTTGCCACTCACCAAGCTGACTGTGCTAGCCGTGTCGACATCTGAGTCCCCTGACAAGGAGTCCTCCAGCTGACCAGCAGCTTCTGAGGCCTCCAGCTGTTGGCTTTGACCAAGCAATTTGGCTTCCAGTGCTGCCAAGGCAGTTTCAGTGTCCTTAAGCAGAAGATGAGTGTCCTGACTAAAGTCCATACGAGTTGACCGAACAGCTTCTAAATCTTTAAGCAGAGGGTGACTTGAAATATGTGGGAGTTTATTCTGAGGAACACCACTGCTCGATTTATCTTTGGTAAAACTTTCCTGTCTAACAAAAGACGCTGTTTCCTTTCCTGACATGTTTTCTTGATCTTGAGGAAGACTCTGATGGAGGGAAATGACAACTTTTCCAGCTGTATTTATGTAAGCACTAACATCTTTGACTGGTGGCTTTCCAGGAACTGGTGCGCCAGCACACTTGAAGGAAAACTCTGGATCCTTGCTGTCCTTGTCTGCTCGAGTGTGGGAGACAGTCAGAGAGAGCTTGGAGGGAACCCCTGCATCATTGCTGTCATCACCAATGTAGAACGAAGTAGAAACTGGCTCACTCACAGCTCTCACGTGAGAGATCCGGGAGGCTCCTGGCTGCTGGCTCTCTGATCTATTGTCTTCCCTCATCTGCTCTAGCATTTTGCTGTTCTCTTTATATTTCTTGCCTTTTTCCATGCTGAAGCCATCATCAGATCTGCTGGCATCGCTGAGGCTATCTGGATCCAGGTCTTCTTGGATGAAGAGGCGGCTGCTGGAATCACCATAGGCTTCCACACAGTGATCCTTCACAATGGTTCTCTTGGTAACCTCAGAATAGGACTCCTGACACATCAGGACCGTGGGAGTGGGGCTGTCTGATTTATCACTTGGTGGGAGTTGGGGAAGAAGGCGCCTTGTTCTTGAGGGCACAGAGTTTTCTGGTTCCCCAGGTTTTGGGGGTACCCCACTTTCTGAAGGGAGTTAATTGGAAAAGAATCAATTACTCTAAAACCATGCCACTTATTTGTTTATGAAGAGCTTGATCCTGCAAAGTGCAAGTCCACAAAAGCACTCGCAAGATGTGCTTAGAACTAAGGTTATATGTAATATGGACATCAGCAAGCCCTGGCTGGTCCCTGCTCCCTCGGTTTTATCAATACAGATATTAAACTTAATTCCTTTGCTGAATCACACTGCTCAACACCTTCCCTTCTCAAGGTAGTATGTCAGATTCATTCTCCCATAATATACCTCTCAGTACAAGCACTATGGAGAATAATGACATTGCTGGCACCTAGCATCAGTCAGGCCACAGGAATGAGATGAAAAGCCATCAGACATCAGTGATGCAGAGTGTTAAATACCATTCTAAACAACATTGCCCATTTGACTAAATAGATGGTGTTTTCCACAGTACAGGCTCTCCTACACTCATATCCCAGAGCAAAGTCCCAGGAGAAAGACCCTGTAGTAATCAAGAGGTTCTGAATTAGAGCTCACTGCCCCAGCATGTGTGGGCTTATCAGCAGGGACACACTCCATACAAAGAGTGTTTCTATTTCTCCCATGCTGCTGGCTAGGCCTCCATATCTGATACCACCTTTCAATACCAGGATAACTGGTTATTTGGCTGTGGGAGTATTACAAGCACTCCAGGAGTTAGGTATCCTACATGGTGTGAAAACAGTGGCAATGATCTCTGAAACAAAGTTTTCTTCTGATTTTTATTGGATCTATCTACACCTGTCAATGGCAAGAAGGTATGACAAGTAATCCCAACCAAAAAAAGTTGAAAATATTCGCAAAAGCCAACAAAGTGCTCTTCTCCTTTTCTCATACACAAAGAGGATCACAGAGTCCATAAGGTGTCTTCCAAGTTATGATGAGAGTCTGATATCTGCCAATTTCCTTTCTCCACCCTATCTAGTTCTCTATGATGATGTCCACCCTTTAAATCTGCCAATTGACAGCAAACCCCAGAACAGCCTAAATTCTCAGCACAGCCAGACACAGGAGAAGCACACAAAAAACATGCAAGTCAGGAACTAACTCCAAGGCTATGTGCAAAGGAGTCTTGTCTGGCATCATAAGGCAGTCTAAGGAATCACAGCTTGGGGCTAGTTAACACCCAAAGCCCTTAAAAGCTTTCTCCTTCCCAGTTCCCTTCAGTCATGTCAAACCTAATATTTAAGAACCTCTTGAATAACTCCAAAATGCAAACCAGAGGCTCTCCCTGTCTTCAGTCCACTGTGAACTATTCACTCTGTGCTTCCCATCTCCAACTACTGTAGCTAAAGCAGAAAGTAAGATATAGCCAGATGCACAAATGCCCTTAATTTTTGCTTTTTCTACCATCCTGGTTTAGATTCAGATACCCTCAAGCCACAGTGTTGGATGAGACTTACCTGCACTTCCATCACCCTGCCCAGAGACAGATCCAGAGTCAGAGTAACTATCCGCAAGGCTCGCCCACCTTGACACCCACTTCTGATTCCCTTGAGATGCTGCAGACATCTACAACAAGGTGGGGAAGATGAGGTCAGAAAGAGGGCTTGTACACAAAATCCTAACCAAAATATCTCTCATACTGACATCATTCCGTTCAAAATGGAAATCAAGCTACACATTACATTTACATATAGACAGAAAATCCATCTACACCTCCACCATCCCAGGAAATCCTCCTGGACTGCCCATACCTGTGCTTCAGCCTGAGACCCATTCACAGCTTTTGAGGAAAATGCCTGGAGCAAGGATGACTTCTGACTAGTGCCATTTTCACTGATTAGATGCTGAGAACTGGAATCATCTTTTTCACCTTTAATTATTGGTCTAAAAGCTGAAGAGATTCTGGAAAATTCAGGCGATTCAAGAACACCGAAAACCTGAAAAGATGTTTGCATGGGAATATTAAAATGCAACAAAACAAAAAAACATTAGCCAAAAATCCAAATCTGTGAAACATTAGTCACACGCAAACTATGATCCCAAGGGGCCAGAAACACTTGCCAGGGCTTCCATGCAAACTACGTAAATAATTTTCTTCTGTACTCCACAGTAGCAGCTTTAAATATATTTAATCATAGAATTCCACTCACACCCACCTTTCCTCTCTCCCTCATTATTCAGGGGTGTTGCCTTTAGCACCAGTAACTTTCACTGAACAGGAGTCCCTTTTCAGCCCAGAGAAATTTAGGATGAGTGTCAGGAAACCTATTTATCGGCTCATTCATGAAGATTTCGACAGAGAAAATGGAAAAGCTCCATCCCCAGTGCCTTTTATATACTAGCTGAGTGGGCTGAGCAAAGCAGCCTTGCACAGCCACAAGGAACTGGGAAAGGATGCACCTCTTGGGTGAGTGTTTGAGCTCATTGGACAGACTCCCCCTGAAGATAAGCAGGCCTTCCTATGGAGGGTGATCAAGACTCATGCCTCAGAAGGCCCTGTTCCTCTCACTTGACTGCAAGAAGTTCAGAGGAAGATATCACCACAGAGGGTGCCTTGGCTGCACAGAGACTGCCATAAAGATCTCCACTCTCACTAATGTTAAAAAATGTGCTTGCAATGGTGGAGGACTAAAGAACAGAGACACCTTAGAACCTAAGCAAGTCCAGAATTCATTTTCAGTCTTCCTGGACAGAAACACTGGGGTTCAGTTATCAGCTCTTTCACAAGTGGCAGGTCTGCCCTGCACCAAGTCTACGCCACAGTCAGGACCAGAAACTGGACAGTTTGTCTGCCAGTGCCACATGGCTGCCAAGACTACTCCCCAAAAATATTTGTATTTTTGTGGCATTTCCCCTCATATTTCCCCACCAGAACAATTAGTCATCTAATGTCAGGACTAGGACCCTGCTGTGACCATGCCCTGAAAGCTTCTGATCACATTTCAAACAAGGTGTAAGGAACAAATGTAATATAACACAAAAGAGAGAAGCTAGATCCAGGCTCATAAACACTGCATACAAAGCTTTAAAACCACGTTAAATTAAGGCTTCCTTTAAACTTTGCCATCCTCCTGACTGCATTTCATTGTATCTTCATAAAAACTTGCCAGTTTTGTTTTCATAATCGACCACAGATGAGAGTCAAACCTGAAAATCAGCCAACCTTTGGTTTGCCCTGAGGTTGGTTAGTTGGATGGGTTCTTCTTAAGCCTCCTTCATCTCTGGAGCTTAGTTTTTAGGCAATCATTCACTCTGCAAAATCTAAACAAGTACAGATCCATCTGGGATTGCCTCTGTCCTAGATCACACCCTTGGCTATCTCAGCCAGCTGCCGCTTGCCCTGACAGCAAGCACTGCCTTTCTAATCATGCACAGCCAAATACAGAAACATCTGCCACTAAGGCTTGTAAGCACCAGCCCTTGGCATTTCCTGTGGCCTACCATGGGATGACGCACCAGTGATGGGCTGCAGCTCCCATCCCCATAACAGCGGGAGGAGAGGCACTGCCAAGGCAGAGGCTTGGGGGCAAGTCCTAGAGAGCAGAGCTGTTCCAGCCACAGCTGTCAGCAGGATCTGATCTTTATTCAGGTGTTGCTCTTCCTCTGAACAGATGGCAAATCCACTCTTTCACTTTTGCTTCCAAATTCCATTTTTTTTTAAGCAAGCAGCTCTTTGCCATAGGCACATTTTACCTTCTTCTACTCTGCGTTTTTTTTGTTTTGATGTTTTGTTGTTTTGATGGGATTTTTTAAAGACAAGCATCACAGTTTGTTGGGGCCTATTCTTCGCACAGGTCACCCAGGATGATTTTCCACCCCTAACTACAGTGCCCTGCTGCACCCAACTGCATCCCTTCATGGCAACAGTTAATTTAGGCCCTCCAAGCCTTCAGCCCTCAGCTCACTGCCCAAGCACAGAAAAGCATTTACCTGATCTATCATTTTTCGTGCTTCCTCCACCTCTTTGTCCTGCGACTCTGTCTCAATGGTGTACGTGCCTGTCTCACTTACACTGTCTTCCTCATCATTCCTCCTGCCCTGAGCAGACTTTGCCTCTGGAGGTGGAGCAGAGGCAGGCTCTGGTTCTGAGGATATAACCACGCGTGGAGCTACTGGCACCGGCGCAGGGGCTGGTTTCTCAGCGTTTGGCTTCCCAGGCTGAGCAGTTTCACGCAGGTACTCAGCCATAAAATCCTGAGCCATTTTTGACTTCCTCCCAACGCTCCCGTAACTTTTGGCTCTAGGAGCAGAGGAGGATGAAGAGTTGATCCGGTCCTCCGTCTTCTCCCTCTTGAAGGAGCTCGTTCTTTGGGTCCCGCAGGAGTTGGTGGTGGGTTTGCCTGCCTGGGCTGCGAGGTGGGATGGTGGCACTGAATTTCCCGGCTTCTCCGCTGGCAACGCATTCTTGCGCTTCTCAACCTTGTTCTTCAGCCCCGGATCCGTGTCGCTCTGGGATGAGTGAGCGCTGTGCGTGAAGGACTGGGACCTCTTCTTCCGTGGCGTGTCCTCGAAGAACTCGATGACAAAGGCCTGCTTGTTGTGCAGCATCTCGTGGGGGTCACGCCTCATCTGGCGCTGCAGCCTCGTCTGCTCTGTTGGACGTTCCCCACCTGTCGTTGTCGTCGTCTCCTTCTCCGCCTTGGGGTCTTCGGTGTCGCTCTGCGTTCCGTCCTCGTGCCTGTTTCCTGGAAACAAGGTATGTAGGTTTGACCTTCATACTCTCAGTTGTTGTGGGCCTGTCATTACCTCACAGTTGATATTTATCATTTCAGTTACATGAAAAGCATTCTAGAAGATTAAAAAACTCCAAAGACATCTGTGTGGTACAGGGATTGCACCCCATCATAAGAAATAAAAGAGAAGGCAGATCTCTCCTGACCCCACTTTTCACCACTGGTTGGCTACCAAGGTAATTATTTATTTAAAAAGAATTCAAGAAGTACTTTCAACCTCATGGATTTCTGATTTTGTAATGGTGACTGGTTTACACAATTAATGTTTTGTTTCTTTTTTTTTTTCAATTTAAATAAAAATGATGAGATTATTTTGCCATTCTATCCAATTACTGTAGTCCAAGACCAACCTCACTGGGTTTTGAGAGCAGAAGTATCTCTGCAGGATCAGGAAATAAAACCCTCACACTGCATCCTATGAAACCAAATACCCACAATGAAACCAGATCAGAGCATTACAAGTACATGTATATCTGAGCACCCATGTCACCGTCCTCTACAAGGGGAAATAAACCAGAGGCTAACAGAAAAGTTAATTTGCAGAATTCTTTACTCTTCCAGGAGATTTAAGAATCAGACCGTGACACCCCCATGAGTTACACCATCCTATCACCAGCCAAGCAAAGGTTAAATCATTACTGAAGAGTTCACTAAGCTTAAACTAAGTTTATAATTATTTTCATTTATTTTAGCAACGACCATCTTTACAACTGTCCCTATGTATCAGTGCCTGCCAGCCCCTCAGCACCTTAGCTCAGGACTCTCAGAAAGTAAGTTTAAGTAAAACAAAAAGGTAAAATTAAAACAAAAAGTTAAAAATAAAACAAAAAACAAACCTTTTTTTGGAGAAGGAAACAGGTGTGAAGGCACACAACACGATTCAGTCAACGACCAGGAACCTGTCATCGGGAGAACGGGGAAAGAGGTCTCTGCGCTCTAGACTGTAATATGTAGCAAGATATTCTGGCTAAAACACCACGTGTTTGAAGGAAAACTGCTCAAACCTACTTGGCAAGTTCTCCAGACTCATGGGTGAAGACCATTTATTACATCAAGTTAACTGTGAAAGATTAGGATTTAATGCAAGGTCCATTCAACCCAGGAGTCAATTCTATGAAGAGTTTCCTAATACACTCATGAAGAAAGCCAGCAAACTTTGCATTGTGCCCTGAGGGCTGATAAGCTTCACCCTTGGAAGGGAAAGTTCTTAAATTAAAGGTCTTGACTAAGAGGTCTGATGAATGCAAAATGGTGAGGACACAAGGAAAACATGCACCATGCTCACAGATGCCCCAGCAAAACACCATGCACATCCCCTCAAGCTGCTAAGACCTCAACACCCTGTAGTCTTGATACCAGGCTTTACATTCACCACATTGTTGCTGGAAGTGAACAAATGTTTGACAGCCCCAAAGGTGGGCATTTCTGATCCTGGAGACCCAAACCTGGTAGGCAGCCAGCAGTAGTCTCCAAGTCATCTTCAAAATTAGCCCTGCCAGAAGAACACGTTACACAGCTATCGTAGATAAATGACACCTGCTAAAGCAGAGGTGGATCAACTCCTCAGGTCATCAACACTCTTATGTTTTAATCAAATGTCCAGCATTGATTTCTTGATATGCAAATTACACAGTGAATTACCTCAGCTTCTTTCCATGCCTTATGGACTGCAGAGAGGCAAATGCAGCCAGTCTCTAGTGTTCCTGTGCATCACAACTGCAACAGCTGCCCAACTCTCTAGTCTTCTCCAAGAGGAAAGAGCAAAACTACTGAAGCACATTTCTACCCCTGACAATGTTCTCCAGTAAGTCAACAAAATCCAGTATGATAGCAACATAAAAAATCCCAGCACGAACCCTTTCATCACACAGTCACAGTACACTGAAAATAAGACCCTAAATAACCAAACCAGGCACCTCAACACTGTCCCTTATTGGGAAGGACTAGAACCAGGCAATGGCCAACAAAGTAGTTAAATTTCCATGCCATGCCAAACCCTATGGCTGAGTACAACACCTTTATGACCATACAGGGTTCCCAAAAACATGTACCCAAAGCAGCAATTAGGAAGTGTAATACATAAAACTCTTCATATTATGATGAGTTTTGGGGAATTTTTCCAAAAAGCTCAAAGCAAGTATTTCTTTAAGAGAAAACAAGGTATAGCTCTAATTAAGTAGGACTTCAAGTGCAAGTAGGTCTGGTAACCTTCAATATGACTTCATCAGCTCAAACTGCAGTTCAAACCAATAGCTTTTCCAGAGGGCAAGGCAGTAAGAATGGAGGAATCACTGGTCTCCTCTGAGCTGTTCAGTGAATGGCCCAAGAGAGATACTCAAGCAACCATAAATCTTGCAGAATGTATTCAAAGTTGCATCAGAATCATGTAAGTCTCACCAGATGCTCTAAGAACTGGCCTTCAAACTTCACTTCAGAACTTTGAAAATCCCCAAAGAATTCCTCACAGTGACACACTTAACAAGACACAGGTCCACAAAATCTGATGTTTTTGAACGGAGCAGGATTTCAGAGAAGCTTTAGGTTAGGAGAAGAAATCTTTTCCTACAAGCACAACAATTTCCTTTACTGGGGATCATGTGTATCCCAAGTGTACCAGTAGTCTCTGTGTCAGCACTTTCTGTCGTCCAACCAGCTGGCTCTGGTCATTACCAGATGATCACACTTAGACTTAAGACAGCAGGATGATCATGCTTAAACTCCTCTGGACTACAGTTAAAAAGAAATTCATTCCATCAGCCAGGAGAAGCCAAGAGAACCAAATTCACTGAAATATCCGCGTGAAATATCTGCCTGACCATATGGAAATTATTTTAGACATTCAAAAATCAAAATCTCTTTTTTAACCAATTACTGCTGAGCTGGCATTATAGATGTAGAGGAGACACATTAGTGTCCTTAAGCCAACATCACACATGACTTCAGGGCCAGGTGAAGAGCATGCTAGCTGCATTCAAAATATTAACAGTCATTAAAGTAATATTCTTCATCTCGCAAATCTGAAGAAGAGATAATTAAGTCCAGTTCTCCTTGACAGGAGAAGGGCTTTCATATTATATTAAGAAAGGCTGCATTTGCATGGCCAGCAGAGCTAAGTCCACGTGACAAGACATTCACTCACCTTTAAGCGTCCTTACATGAACTGGCAGGTCACTCTTGGTACTGTAAACATCATCTCCTGCAGACTGCCTTCTCATCAGGCTTGGGTCATTCTGGACAAGCCAGTCAGCCACTTTGCTCTCTGCTGACATCACTTCTGTATGAGCCGGTTCCTTACTGTAGGGTCTTCTCTGTCTGAGTGAAAATTTAGTTACATGGTCTTTTATCTTTATTTTACCAGGGGTACCATCATCAAATTCAATGGTGAAAGAGGCATGACTCTGTACCACAGGGGCTACCACAGCATCAACATCCTTTGTTGGGATCTCATGGACCTGGGTTTCTGGAGATTTTGATGGCTGCTGAAATTCTTTAGTTGGAATCTCAAAATAACTTGGCTCTCTCCGGAAGGCAAACACAGATTGTTCTTGGGCATCTCTATAAGTAGAAATATTCCCATTCAGTTCCTCTTCATGTTGGGTTATCTCTTTTGATCTCTCTACAAAGGCAGAAAAAAAAAGGATAAAATCACGTTTTTCTCAGTACTACGCAATTCACTTGTTTCAACTTCTTGGAAGGGCCACTAATCACAACCCCTCTCTGCTAGAGAACAGATACACTATGTATGAATTGAAATAAAACACTTCCTTGGTCAGTAGAGCACATGCTTGATAGAAACCTCAGGTGTACTGCACAAGTGAAAACAAGATGCCTCTTCCATACACACAGATTGACAACAAAGGGAGCGTTAAGACCAAATGGCTCCCAAGAATGATCAGGTGATAACAGATACAGCTATCTCTAAAACAAACTTAGTGATTTACTCCACAACTGCTGTTTCTAAGGGTCAAATATTTTAGGGAAAACATTTTAATTCTCCCTTATTCCAGTTTCCAAGCTATACAGAGGAATGTACAAATACAAGCACAAAAAAGAAGTAGTAACTGAAAGTCTTGAAACAGGATGGCTTCAAACAGTAAATATCAAAAGTCTGCCAAAATTTTGTGTCCCCTATCTTCTCCCACCCCACATCACCTCTGTTACCTGAGTAATGTTCCTCTTGCCTTCTCTCCTCCTTGTTATTTGCATCATCTTCCCCCCACCAGGAGGGCTGCCCATAGAGCGGAGTGCGGTAAGTATTCGTTTCTAGGAAGAGGATAAGCAAATACTTTAACACAGAAAATATCAATTTACCAGGTTCAACCACATGCCAAAATGGGAAAAACATCAGGGCCAGATGAGACCATGAACCTGTTATACCACAGTTGTAACAACAGCAAATTATACATAATAATATGTTCAGGCTTTTCTTTGTTTCACCCTTTTCTCCTTTTTACATTCTAGTGAAAGATACCAACTCCACCTCCCTTCACTGTCTTTCACAGCTGTATTTCCCAGATACTGACTTTTATCCCTTTCTAGCCTTATTATACACACAAAGTGTAAGATTTTTGTCAGGACAGACTAACCACTAAAACACTAACCACAAAACTGTCTTCATCTCACCTGCAATTCAGGTGAAAATCTGACTTTCTTCTCACCTTAATTGGGAAGGCTTTTGCTCTACCCTTTTTTGACCCACCATGTCCTTGGGATGCGTCCAGGCTAGGGACTTTTTTCACTATTTACCACTCCCACTGTAAGTGACACACATTCCACAACAGGAAATTCTCAAAGCATTACAAACATAGGGAAAATGGTGAAACCATCTCCTTACACTTTCATAAAGAAGCAGTAAACTCTTGCTCTCTAAAGCTTATAGTAAACCAAGTGAGTTGCATAATCATTGCAGGACAGAGGTTTTTCTCATGAAGAATTTCCTCTAGAAGAGCCAGGCTTACATTATTTCTGTGTTCAGTGAGCACACACTGAAAAGAGCAGGGCTTCACTGCAACAACTGGCACCCACTCACTGGAGCTGATCCACTGCTCCTCGTTTAGTATCCCACAAAACAAGGCTGTGTTTTGGCAGTGCCTTGGGCTGCTGCTGTTTATGCAACAAACAAAAAGAATACACCCAATTTGCCTATGGTAAAATTAATACTACATTTTTTTTCATGGTTCAAGAGAAGCAAATAAAGTAGGATTTTTTTGTTCCTTCATCTAGAGGTGGTAGAAACACCAGCATAGGTCAGGGGCTGAGGTTAAGATCCAGCTTTGTTAGGCTGCTCCTGCCTAACAAAGCTCCTGGCCACGTCTTAAACCCTGGCTCCAGCTCCAGAGCCATAGCTGGGCTTCTACTGCCAGCTGCTGCTCAACTTGTGGTTTTCAAACCACACACCACTGCTCTATACAAAGCAGCTCTCAAACAGCCCTGCTATTTTGCATTCCCTGCTTTAGTAGGGACATGACAGAAAGCAGTTGTTAGCATAAGGGAAGTCAGGAGAGGAAGGGGAATTAAGTAACTCAAATTAAAAAAGCAGCCTGATTTTATGCTGTTGTTTCTAAAGCTACACAGACCCAGTGGCCACTACTTCAGATATTTTTGTTCTAGGATCATTCCAGATATATAAGCTCATACACTGACAGTTCACAGGCAAAACTTTTGCTTTACAGATGCAGCCCACAGGCCCTTTTCAAGAGATCTTGTTCATGTTTCAAAGTTAACCATGCAGCTTCCCTTCACACTGAGGATCAAAGAGGCTAAAAGTATTACTCTCCTCCCCGCCTAGAGTGTGTGGAAGATAAACCATGTTCCTATTATGTAGGCGGCCTTTGAAAGTTCAAAGGAGGAAGCATTTCTCACCAAGATAAATTGGAATTGCCAAGCAGTATGTTTCATAACTGATGATGGGTAAACCACTCATGGGAGAGGGGGAAAAAATAATTAAAAAACCTATTCACAAGGTTGTCAGTGAACCCTACTCCAGTGTAGGGTTTGGTTTCTCCTAGGCTGAGCAGAAACCTACCATCCTCTTTTCATGCTGTAACTCGCCCACTAGACCCCACCCCACCCATGCAGGATCAGCTCCATCAGCATCAGGCACTTTGGGCACACAATGGATTATTACCCTCTGACTTACAGTACAGATCTTAGGGTTGACAGCCAAGAGGAAGCTATCTGAGGGAAGCCAGGGGAATGACATCAACACTTTAACACAAATCCATTAGCAAGAGCCAGTGATGTCTGAGGCAATTTGTGCCTAAAGGGATCAACTACCCTACAGATGAAATGCAAAGACCACCTGCACTCAACTGTTGCACAAGCAGCACCTTTCCCAAGGATGGGTGCTGTTACTGCTTGTATCTTGCAAGGAGTTGCCTCATTACAGCTCGTCTATCCAGCACACCCCAGCCCCAAAGATCCCAAAGGACCCCTAGTCTAGAAGATGCCAGTGATCCATTCCAAGACAATTTTGTGTCCAGCAGGGCAGAAGAGAGCTAAGAGAGCTCACACCCATCCTGCAGGACAGAAATCTTCCCAGAAATTACTCAAAGATCTGTGTCCCATTTGTGAGTACAAACACAGGAGCTTCTGCCTTTGTCAGCCAGGAGCTTTTCTACTACAGGGAAAAGGCAGCCAGGTGAGTAAGTCAGACTTTTGGTCAGACCTCTTCTGTTGATGAGGAACTTTGGGACTGGAATTGAAGCTGAAGGGGGAAAATAAAAGATTTATGAAGAATAATGATCCAGCTCCTCTGCTGTCTCAAATTTCTCTGAGCCCTAACAGGAAATTACCCTAACTGCCCTTCCAACAAAAGCTAGCACAAAGTCAAAACCCCAGGGCAGGTCTAGGAGCACCTAAAAAGAGTGCATCAGGTTGGCCAGTCCACCATCAGGGTGGGAGACACTGCACTGCACAGCAGCAGAAGGCTCCTCATGCCCCATGACACAGAGCCCACATGGCCCCACCTGCAGTGCCTGTTACAGCATCTGTGACAAAGCTGCACAATTCTGTGTAAGGTGTTTCGTTCCCTTCCTCTCCCAACCTCCACAATGAACTGGAACTTCATTTTAAAACAGCAAAAAGCACAGATGGGAAGTTGAGGAGACAGCATCTTGCTATTCAGGGACAGTTTCAATATTTAAGGCGTAATTAATGTTTCCACTAAGCATTCATATTAATTTGCATTTTGAATAACATTGTCAAGTGACACAGTCACTGTCACTCTTGGCTATTGCTGAAAGCAGACAGACCCTGAGCCTGAGTAAAATTTCTCTGACTTCAGAAGAGTGTTGAGGTTTAACCCCAGCCAGCAGCCAAGCCCCACACAGCCACTCACTTGCTACCCTACCAGCAGGACCAGGGAAAAAGTCAGAAGGGTAAAAAGCAGAAAAGTAATGGGTTGAGATATAGAGAGTTTAGTAAGGAATGCAAAAGCCACACACAGAAGCAAAGCCAAAGAAGGAACTCATTCACCATTCCCATGGGCAGGCAGGTGTTCAGTCATCTCCAGGAAATCAGGACTCCATTACACATAACAGTGACATGGGAAGACAAACACCCTCACTCCAAACATCCCCTCCCACTTCCTTCTTCTTCCCCCTGCCTTACATACTAAGCATGTGATATGGTCTGGAATATTCATTTGGTCAGTTTGGGTCACATGTCCTGGCTGTGCCTCCTCCCAGCCTTCCATGCAGCCTCAATCTCCTCAGCAGTGCAGCAGCACAGAAAGCAGAAAAGGCCTTGGCCCTGTGTAAGGCCTGCTCAGCAGTAACAAAAACATCTCTATATTAACCACTCTGTTCCGTAAAAATCCAAAACACTGCTCCATACCAGCCACTGTGAAGACAATTAACTCTGCCCCAGCCAAAACCAGCACAAAGAGCTACATGAATTTGCTGCCCTGCTCATGTCAGAAGCTTCTGTCCCTTCTAATTTGCCAGCACAACTGACACCTCTCCCAGCTCCAGCTCTAACACAACAATATTGTAGAAAAAGGAAAGGGGGTGGGGGGGGAACACGACGGGAAGGCAGCTAAAACAGATGGCTGTGACAGAAGTGGGCCAGGGAGCAGCTACACATGCAGCTGTGCCAGTGGGCATTGCTCTTCACCAGCTGGGATCTATTTTGGGTAGCAACCTCAACCTGGACCTGCAGCATCCAGAGCAGCATGTTTTCCCGTGTCCTGAGACATGCAAAGCACCCTGAAGCCACCTCCTGTCTGTTCTGTTTTAGTGTAAGATGGATGCTCTTGTAAGAGCAGACAAACTAGGGGCTCACTCCAGTCAGCAGTGAAGGGAGGAACACCAATGAAAATGAACTGCTCAGTCATTTTAATGACATGAGACTTCCTCCAATTGATGGCAGCTCATTACCACCTCTCTCCACTCCGTGCCAGGCTGCCCAGATGGTGCCAATTCATTTAGACATATTTCTTAGCTCATCAATTCAGGCAGGCAGCCTGAAAACCATCCTTTTAGATAACTGAATTGAGGTCAGCTCAAGCATTCAGCCAGATAAATACTGAGCCACCAGTGACGGTGTAATACAGGGAAGACCACGGACATACACATGTTCTGCTCCTGGATTTCAGTCTTTGGGGCAGTCACTCAAAAGGAAAAATGAATTTCTGTGTTTTAGCACAGAAAAAGGGTAGTCCATTTGCTTAACAGTCAGACAAAAATGTGGCCTGTTAAATTAATACAGAACTATTGATCATCTGAAGGAGAGGCACCAAAAGAGAGAATGAGACATGTCAATACAAAGGGTGCATTTATAGAGAAGTGAATCACACAGAACACAAGGCCACAACCAGAAATACAGTCCAGGTGATGAAAATCAAAGGAGAAAGACCGTGTTAAAGCTGCTTTCCATCATCAAGCAGGAGGAAAAGCTTTCAAGACAAGCACACAGCTCCCACTAAACAGAGGGGTCTGATTTCCCTTGAAGGTGTCCCCTGTGGTCAGGACCGGACTGAGGACTATGCTTTGCCCAAACCTTCACAAAGCTTCATACCATCATGAGAGAGAGACAGTCAGCAACAGCAAATTTCTTTGTTCACAGAAGCACACACAGCTTTGAAACTCTCTCCTGCAAATCATAACAAAAGCATGAGAAATCCAGCTTGCTTTAAGTCAAACTGTTTTTGATTCATTATTAATAACAATAATGCCCATCTCCAGAAGATGCAGAGTAGCTTTCTTACAGCAGAGGCCTTGGGGGGAAAAAAAAGATGATCTAGCTACAACATTTTAAAAAGAATTCCTTACATCCCTGCTTTTTAACTCCTCACCAAAATAGAGAATTCAGACCTAGTAGAAATAATCATAAAGCAATTCTCTGATTCTTTGCCACACAATTTATTTTATATGTGCATGGTTAATCTAAGCCCTGGTCTTTTGTATCTGCTGTGAACATACCAGGATCCCAGAGACTTTCAAATGAGGCTGACAATCACAAATGTACTTTTATCAATTACATGGCCAAACCTTAAACATGCTGCAGTTACCACCACTCTAATTCAGGTAAAAAAAGCAGATATAACACCACTCCCTTAAATTAAAGGCTAGGGCAGAGCTGTGTGTCTAAATAGCTGTTGCCATGATCTCATGGGGAAAGCAGCCAAAGACCATGGAAACCACTTTACAACTGGGCACAGCTCCCACTGCCTCCATCCATCCTGCCTGCTGACCTCAGCCCTGGACATCAGCAGGACTTTCAAATCGTCCACTCTGCTGAGAGGACCTACTAATGACATGGATGCTGACCTGATGAATAAACCTATTTCACAGATCCCGGGAGAAGCTCCTGCAACTGGTCCTACACCTGGCAAATGATGATGCCCATTTAAAGTGGACGCTGCAAGCAGCCTCCACCCCTGGAAACTCAGGCCTGCAGCAGTTATTCAGAGGTTAGTCATCAGATTCAGGATTCCCAGTCCCATCAGGCTGTGGCAGCTTTGAAAAAAGAAAAAATTAAGATCAGCTGGAGGATTTAACTATGTGTTGAGAACAGAAAACCACAAAGTAGCTTATCTCATCAAGTACCTCAACTCAGGTAGCAACAGATGGGAATAGGGATTGTGACTGTCTTGAAATCTGCTCAGTTGAAGGCTCTACCTGGCTTCCTAACCACTTAAGTCTTTAGACATGAGCGCTAATAGCTATTTTTAGCATTAACTAGCTGAACTGTGGACACTTTGATTCATATCCATCTCCAACCCATAGGATTAACCAAGCTCCTTGCTTCAAACACTTCACAGACTGATGATTTTCTGCTTGCAGGCAACATACACCCAAAATCTGCAAGTTCAACATTATAAAGACTAAACTGACTGTTTCCCATTCATTCCCCTGGATCTCTTTATCCTCAGCCCCTCACCTCCTCCCATTTCTAAGCAGCTCTAATTGTTCACATTGTTTTGTTAAACCTCTTCCCTGAAAGCCTGCATTCCCTCTGCCTCTTTTCCACCCAGGCCCTGGGAACCGATCCTTCTAAAGGCTTTTGTCAGCCCAGACCTTGCTTTAATTAGTCAATGCAAATTCCTAAATACCTACAGACTTAGCAAAACAGCTCTTTCCCTAAAGCCTCTTTCTGCCACCACTAAGCAAGCCCACTCCCCATAAGAACACGACATTCTTTTCACTAATCATTTCAAATTGCTGCCACTCCTCCCAGCAGCCGAGGAGAAACAGTGCATGTGTGCAGCTGAGGACAAGGTGAATTAGTCACATGGCACATGAGAAAAGGATCCACTGAGCATTCTGCTCACGTGACAGAGATGCTTTTGGGAGAGCTAGGGACTGATTTAATACTCAGGCTTTTGCTTCCACAGGCTTCAGTCCAATCCAGCAAAATACTTCAAACAAAAAGTCCTGATTTCCTCTATCATTCAGTGGGGTTAGCAGCACTTCACAGATTTTTTTTAGCTCTGCCCATCAGTCCCACTGCATGTGACATACTTCAGTGCTGCTCCCCAGTAAGAACACAGAGCCCGTTTTGCCTTAGACCTCTGGTCTGTGCCCACTGAAGATGACAGAAACATAATGCAGGTCTGCAAATCACAGGCTAGAGAAACGGGTCACCTTGCTCAAGAGTCACTCAACGTCCTGGCTTTGAAGGCGTTCCAAATATCCCCTGCTTACGCTATGTAGGTTAAAATCAATGAGAGTGTATTTTGGAAGATGGCAAGAATAAAAAACTGAGTGTTCACGGAACCAGGCAGTAGCAAACACAAAGTAGTTCCAGTTACTGGCAAAGCTTTCCAAGAACCTCCTGCCCCTTGAAAGGCAGAGCTCTTCCCCCAGTGGGGCTCACCTCTTCTCACCCTCCCCAGTGTCACACTTAATCCTTCACGATTCCATCCCTTTACGTTCATGCTTGTCAGGCTCAGTCCCAAACACAGCCACAGCCAAAGAAACACAAAGAAAGGTTTTCTGGTGCAAAAAATGGGAGTTGGGCACACGGGCACATGTGCTTCCCCACACAGCTGGAGGCAGAGAGGAGCCCAGGAGAGGTACATTACACTCTTTTAGTGCACTATGTCAGCTTAGGGGGATGTTCATAAGGACAATACATGGGAGATCACGGTCAATCAACCCGCTCAAATTAGTTATCATGAAGCCTTAACACATTTACCCAAAGTTGTACTCTTTTCTAGAAAGCTGCCATACCTGTCTCTAGGTAAACTTACCCAAGATGTTTACCTCACTCTTTTACTTGCCCATCCCCTTTCCTCCATTCTTCCTGATTCTTCCTCCAACGGAGTGGGCAACTCTCCCCGCTAAACCCTAAAGCTTTCCAACTGCTCTGCCATCCTGAAGACACAAGACCACCACTGGCAGTCATGTCACCAGTATGCTTTAAAACCATATTTGTTCCTCCCATGCACCAGCAAGCTCCAGAAAGCCGTGAACTGATACCTGACCAGAACTGGGGAGAGAGACCTGTCAGGACAGCACACACAAGAGGCAGGAATTTGGGTGAAATGGGTGAGACAAGACTGCTGGGGAGGTCCTGGCAAACCATAATGGGGAACATGGAGGAACCAAGTTTGACAAAGGATCTTTAAAGGAAGGCAGCAGTTGCTAACAAAATGGAGAACAGAAGGAATTTCTCAAACAGGAAAGGTCTATAGCTGGGGAAAAGTGAACCTGAAACAAACATCTCCCAATCAGGCAGCTGGTTTCAATCCCACACATTGGCACATTAGGAAATACAGCCATTTAAAACCATCCAGGGCCTTGTGAAAGAAATGGTTTGCTGCTCCTTTGCCTGCCTGCCAGCACCAAGCCACAGCAGCTATACATTTTCTACTCTGAGTCACCCCCTCTGTTCAAACACCAGCTCACGATTAGGAAATTAAAAATAGACCAGACAGGTGCCAGAGAACTTACCAAACCTGCTCTGCCCACAGGTTTTCCTGAACACACACAGCGACAAGGCATGCAGGAGCCATCACACCAGCTGATTTTTTTTGGAGGTTGAATCTCCAAAAACCCAGAGTCTGGAATACTCCAAGAGTTCAGAAAGCTGATCCTTCTAGAACTGCTCCCAAATGCAACCCGCAAGACTCTACTGTCAGAATCATAACCCAGCACAAGCTGCACTTTGTTCAGAATCTAGATTAACTGGTTCCCAAGCAGGTACCTGTAATTGCTTTCCTCTCTCCTTTCTCCAGCTTGGCTTGTGGGGACTCTGTGTAGACACTGTGCTCCATGGGCTGCTCCGCCCTCTTCATGGCCGTGCCTTTGTAATTCATCTGGAGCTGGCTGGTGTACTTCTCATGCTGCACAGACACAAGCAGCAGTGAACCCCTCTTCCCCACCAACAGATCACCAAAAATTCTACTGCAGCTGTGTCCCTCAGAAAGAAGCATGCACACCTGAGCAGAAGCTACACAACAGGAGAAATAGCCCATTTGGAAGCCATTAAGTGACAGTTCCAGTACACAAGAAGGTCACTCTGACTTAGCTCTGCAAAATAACTAATTAGAAAATCCTTTCAAGAATAAACTGAGAAGAATCAGAACTCAGGCCTTTTTCCACTCAGGATTTAAATCCTGAAATCCCCTTTCTTCTTATTATTTCAGGGCACTCATCTGCATTACCTCAGTTTTTCAGCAAAGGCAACTGGAATCTATTTTAATTATTTTTTCCAAACCGTCTCCCCAGCTAGGACAGTGATTCTACCTTAAAACGGGTTCCATATTAACACAGTAAATAAGCTATTTAGAAGCTGGTTTATTACAAGTAAATTAATAAAAGGGTGAGCCCATCCAGATTATCCCTGAGAAATAATTTCAATGAATCATTTGCCCAATTGCAGCTGTTAGATTTCCTATCCTCGCCAAGTCCTAAACACAGAACCAGGGCTAAAAAAGCAGTATCTGCTAGCCAAGAGCTGATGCATGGCATTGATAGCCCAGTCCCACAGCTGAACATTATAGCTTTCTTGCCTAGAGGGGGTTGCTTTCCTGCCTTAGGTAAGGGGATGCTTGAATATTTCTTACCTGCTACTGAACAGTGTTTTAAAAACACCTCACTCATAAGAGGACTGACTGCTCAGTAAGTAAAAATTGGGAGCTTGAAGACAAAAATGAGATGGTACACATGAATAAATTAAGCAACCTTCAGCCTGACTGAGGAGATGTGGTGGAGCTGGCATAAATCACCATGCTCAGAAAAAGACATCTGTGCTCCACTTCTGGGAGGGAGTAAGTTCTGCTGTGCTTCATCCACAAGTTCATGTGCTGATTGTTCTTTAACATGTTACAGCTTTAAGTAACCTTTTTCTTCTTGGCAGTCATGAAACATAAAGAACTTGATCTACATGTTGGCACAGGGATAGGAGAGATCAGAGTTGAGATAACTGGGAAATATATCTCTCCTCAAAGGAGGATTTTATTAAGTCCAAACCCAAGGAGAGCCTCACATTTTGAAACATTTCACTGCCATTAAGAGTATTTTAATATTTCACTCTGCTTGACCATCACTAGAGTACTTAAAATTGTTTTTTTTTTTAAAAAATGCACTGCACCCAGCAACTCTTACCTTTAATGCTTCTTCTGGGACTTTGTGTTGAATTTGTTCCAGGACATACATATTCGAATGTACAGAATTCATTAAGGAAAATAAATTAAATTAGATTATAAATTACATAAATAAAAAATTCATTAAGGAAAAGGAACTGGGTGGGCAGAGAAACCTAGCATTTAGTCACAGAAAGAAAACAGGATCATAAAATCAGCAAGTCTTAAAATATGCAGGGTAGTACAAGTTGCCCGTGCTGCAGCCCAGCACGGTCTTTGTCATGCACAGTTTGTGAGACAGTGCACAGTCACGTTTGCTGGCCAGACCCACGACAGCTGAGGGGCAGCACACATGGGGACCTGAGCAGGACAAGCCTGGAGGAGCACCAGCAACTCTGTGCAGGACCTGGGGGAGCAGCCAGAGCCCCAGCTCAGCTCACACCCTGATCCTCTCCACCTGGCTGATGGCTTCAGGCAGACTCCTCACTATCCTGGCCAAGGTGGGCCAGTCTCACACGCTGGACAAGGGAGCTGTAGAGTTCAGCTCCTTGCTCAAATGCCTGGGACTGTGGTGCTCTCTTGCCTCAACAAGGCCTTTCAGTCACTGCAGTTTCCTAGATGAAAAGTAAATCAGGTCATGAGCTGCTGTGTCCTCTTAGGAAGGGAGACATTCACATGGCTGAGCCCAGGCAGTAATCCTCAGCAATGCTGTATTAAAAAAAAAAGCTGGCATCTGGAATGTCATCATGAACAACCCAATCAGCACAGCAGAAAGCAAAGAGGAGGAAAAAGGAAAATGTTAGACTAAAAATAAATCAAGTGATACTGGCCTAGCAGAGAAACTCTGCACAGCCTGTAAGAGAAACTGTAAATGGAAAAGAGAAATGCTTTTGTGCAACGGGACACAGCTTACTCCAAGACCTCAGGAGCTGCCATCCACACCAAGATGACTGCAGTGTACACAGAAAGCTCTGCTAAACAGATAGCACTGAAACAGCAAAGCAGAGGAACACCTTATAGCTGCCATAGGTATAGTATACAGTACAAAGATTACTCTAAAAGCTACATTCTTTAAAATTTTCCTGTTGAAGGCAATCAATTCTACAACTCCATAAGTATAATCATTCATTTCAATTGAATATCCATGAAAGGGCTGCAGGACTAAATACTTCAACTTAGCTGCTCATTGCTAAGAACTGCTTTCTGTAAAAAGCTTAAACTTGTATTGCAGCCATTAAAACCCACCCATGCTCCAGGCACTGATTTTTGCCTTCCCAGGATTTGTGTTCACAGCAAGTCTTCCGTGCATTTCCTCACACACCAAGAGACCAGAACAAGCAGCTACATAAAAAAAAAGCATTTGCAAAGTCAAGAAAAGCTTCAGCTGAGGTTGCCTGTGGGACTGTAACAGATTTCATCACATGTGCAGCAAGACACCACCTTTAATAACAAGATCCCAGATGACAGTGACCAAGACCCAAGTTATGATCCATAGCCCAGAAAACCCTTTTTTCCTGCAGATCCAAGATGGCACACACATAAGTGTAGCAATCCTGGTTGCAACAGTGAGTGCTCCTGCACTATCACTTTTGAGAGCTGAAGTATCAGGTCCCTGGAAGACCAGCAAGGCTCAAGATTTGGAGTATTTCAAGGGCTAAAGCATGGCCAAGCACAAATGGATTATCATGAGGCCAGCAAAAGGTGGAAGAATGTGGCCTTGGGGTCAAGGATGCACAAGAGTTTTCCAGCCAAACATTTTCCCCCACCAAATGGTAAAACTTAGTCTCTGCTTCTATTCTCAGAAATGTCTGGACTGTTTTAACTGACATCTCCCCAGAAAAGGAAAAAAAAAAACCTGGAGAAGACACTTGCTACTTCTAAATACAGCTTGAGTGGGCAAAGTTTGGCAGATAGAAGCAACTCAAAAAAAGTGAAAAAAGTATTAGATTACATGAAAAGACAGCAATAGGAACCTCTACTTACCACTATTGCTCTTCAGACTCAGAAAGGCACGTCAGCATCTATGCTTATAGCCAGTCACACTGTCACATCAGGATAAAAAAGGAAAGGGATGAAAACCAAGGTGTTTCAGCAGACACTGGCAGGATTTGAAGTCTGTAAATAAAGCAGTAGCTGCAACCTAGCTTCCCTTGCTAGAGGTGAAACGTGCTATTGCTAAAGAGAGATTTACTCTTGCATTTTGTAGCAGAAGCAATTTGCATGGGCAAACTTCAATCAATAGAGTCAAGGGTCTGGCCACAATGTTGCCAGCTAAATGTTGAAGGCTGAAGGCCTGAAAATTGTCTGAAAGAAAGCATCTGGGTGAAATAACTGACAAAACAAGGCAAATTGAATGAAAAAAAAATAGGGAGATGTTAGTTCATACAAAAACATATGAACTGTTTTCTCCCAGCTGGTACCAGCTACAGTTGCCACCCAAATAAAAAGATAAAAAGGCAACCCTTCCTTAGGAGAAGACTGAAGAGGCACTTCCAGTTGGTACTGCCAGTGCAGGGCCTGATCCAAAGTTCAATGAAAAAGCAGGCATCATGATCAATGTGCTCTGAATCAGGTTCACGGTGGAGAAACACAAGCTTATGAGCCATCCAAAGGCCCCCAGAGGCAAAACAAACACCTTACTCACAATTAGTAGTCACAATTAGCCCTGGTACCTCTTCATGCAGCCAACAGCACAAAACCCACACAAAACCTGAGTCCCAATCCTCCTCAGAAAGGATATCATAGCCGAAGCGAATGACATCGTTCAGTTTCAGGGTGATGTACTTCTGGTCAGGAATCCTCACATCATTGACAAACGTCTGCAGGAAAGAAGCACAGGAATGGGTTTTGACTGAGGGTACCAGGGTGATGGATCTCAGATGGATGGTGCTTCAGGAGGGCACCCACGTCCATCAGCTGATGGCACTGCATGTACTCAGAGTGTGCCAGCACCAACTCAGGAGCTAAGATCCCTGGAAAAATCAACATCATCAAGTAGCTCCCATGGGCATGTCAGAGCACCCCAATTATGCTTCAAAGCACGGTGCTGTGAAGGGACCTCTAGGGAGGTTTACCTTTGCACCAACTGCAAATGCAATTTTAGTCCTCGAACAGGTAAATGAGGTGCCTGAAGTCAGGAACTTCAAATGCTCTTGGCTCTGCTACACCCGTCTCAACCAGCAAACAGTTGCAACTCATGCGCTTAATTACTGAGCTAGGAATCAGCTTTCTGCTGGATGGCAAAAAAGACTGGTGTCAGCCCCAAGGCCTGATAATTTAACAAGCAAAGCCTATCACAGAGGAAGGGGAAATGAAAATGCACAGGGAAATGGGAAAAAAAATTTGCAGCAGCATCACCATGACACCTGAGGCCACACTGTCCGAGATAACCAAACCCCTCGTGCTAAAAATTCACACACTCCTTTTTCCCATGCTCCAGGCAGTTAACTGAGGCTGAAAGAAACTCACATCCTTCTAAAGGTGCAAGACATGTATTTCACAGCTGTGAATAAATGTCTCTGATGTCTCTGCTTCCTGAGGGGACCCACTATGAAACAATTCTCCCAGACCAAACAAGGATCAAACCAAGCATGCAAGGACTTCTTTCATAAATAAACCCATGTACTTTTGCAATGACCTGGGCCAAATAAAAATAAGAAGGGGCTGAAGAAGCTCTAGAGTGCTGATGGGGATTAGCCACTGCCACAGCTGGATCTGAGGCAGTCAGACACAAGGAGTTACCCTGCTTGGCAAGGTGGGATTCACCCAGCCTCTCAGATCAGGAACCTGCTGCTGAGGCTTTCTGCCATTAATGCAAATGCAGCTGAGGAAACAAAATTATGCTAGAAAATGAATTTACATGTTTTCATGACTGCAGCACAGTCTTTTCCTTCTGCCTTCTCACCTCAGCCAAGCCAAACATGCATGATAAGACCTAGTATTAACCACAGAGGAAAAATAAATGCTAGAGCAGGAAACTAGAACCTCAGCAGACAACAGCCCCCAGTTTCCTGGCAATTTATAGAAGAGCTGAGAAACAGGCCTGTAATTTCAGAATAAAAACAATGGAGCTAGTTAAAAGGCACAGAATTCCAATTTGCATTAAAGATTTTAATATTTAAAAAACCCACAACAGTCACATCTGGAACAGGAATAATTGTTTACTGAATTTTCTTCAAAAAAGTCCACAAGAAACCATTTTGATAGTTACCTATTTGTCCATATTTACTTCAGATAAAGTAACTTTAGTAAAATACTTAATCTGCCTGGAAATGCTACCCTAAAAAACAAAAACCTCTGAATAAAGACTGCAGAATTACCTGAACACTGTAATAAAAACAATATAAAACACTCATAATTGATATGAACCAGATTATCCAGCAAAGCCATATAATGCATTGTTGACTATTCAAATACAAAATAAAATTAAATTCTGAAAATGGATTTAAAATCACTCAAAAGTGATTTCCTTAATTTCAGGTAGGAAAACAAGTTTTTGTGTCAATTTTCAAATAAAGATATGTTTCTTGCATGCAAAATTTGGTTTGGCCACAAATTTGGTCTTTTTCAACAGAAGTGTTTGATCAGCTGCAGAAGACAAGGCACTGCTGTAACTCCCTTTTACTCCATTGCCTCTCTAAGCATAAGTCTGCTATTAAAATGTTGTAAATTCATATGCTTTAGCATGTGAAGATAGAAAAAAATTAGTGGTACAAGCCTTCCCTCCCTTGCAAGTAAAATCTTCAGCTGCTGTTTTGCCACCATGAGTTAAATTCCATAGCTTTTGAACCAGGGACCCAGCTAGAGTCCAGACCAGTTACTGGAAATATTCCCATTTCAGCAGGGCTCTGTGCCTTTAGCTATTAGGCTGAGAAGGATTAGCACTCACTCTTGCTGTGTTCAGATGCCAGAAGAGGAAGAATGGTTGAGGGCTGCTTTAGCCAGCCTGGGCTGGCTCATCTTGTGGTTTTGTGGTTGTGATGGTGGAGGGCTTTACTAAGTCCCAGTAAAACTCCCATTGGGAAGACAATTATGTGAATCTAGCTTAAGCCTGCTCCAGCAGAGGAATAGCTCCACTTGTATGAAGGAATTGCCAAAACAGAGGCATTCTACGACATTAGGACATTTTTAACAACAATGGTGTATTTAAATATCATGAAATTCGTGTTTCTAACACTGAACTGCATGTCAGACCACAGCAAGGGTTAAGATTCAGTCAGGCTCAGCTCCCTCTTCTGTGCTCACACTATTCCTCGATCTTCATACAAACAGGGCTCAAGGCAGGCAAAAGAGCAATTTTTATAATTTAAAAAATAGGTAGTTTTAAGTAGTTTCTCCCCAACAAAATTAAATGTCTCATCATCCCATAAATCATGCCATGCACTGAAAATCAAGCCACCAAAAGGTCATGCTGCTCATGCTGAACATCTGCTCCAGAATCTCCACCAGTTTAAAATTAACATCCCAACCATGAAACTGAATTTATTTCCTCCCCTTTTGCAAGAGGCTTTATGATTTTGTGATCCCTGACGCATTCTGCAAGAACACCAGTAGAGAGGGAAAAAGCAATACAATATTCACCTAAGTTTTTCCCTCCCAAGATGAGATGCTACATGACCTCCACCTCGGACCTTGCAAATAATTATACACGTTCGGCTTAACTCATGCCAACAGCTGCAGTGACCCAAAAGGGTCTGGGAGCAGGATTCAGCGAGCATACGAGTGCTTGCAGACTCAGCACAGCATGAGGCTGCCCCTGCCAGATGGGAGGTTTGGTACTTACTCCATTTAAGCTCCCGAGATCCTTCACCCAGTGCTCATCCTTCTCCTTGTCATAGTTGATTACAGCGTGCTGCTTATCCACACTGCGGGACTGGCAAAGGAAGCACAATGAGCGTGAGACTGGTCAGGCAAAAGTGACACTGTTAATCAGAGCAACACTGAGACATTAAACTGGCTTGATATGGGGTAGGGGGATAGAGCAGGAAAGCAAGAAGGATTAAATACTATTTACTACTATAAATAATTGAAGGATAAGCAGTAAATGCTTCCACAGTTTTTGAAGACAATACGCTATTTGCACGGAGAAGGGAAAATAAAAAGTTTTTTAAAAATTGCTGAAGGTTGTCAAGACTATACCATAACTTCAATAAATTTTATCAATACACACTGAACAAATCCAGTCAAAGTGAAAGCCTGGGGACCAGGATCTGAGCCAGCAAGAGCTAGAAGAGCTCCATTTTTAACTGCTGAGGCAAATGGCCTCATCACTAGGGATGCTCCTATGTGGGATCATTTCCTCCTGTTTTTCAAAAAAGAAAAAAAAAACATTTTCTTGAGTTAAAAATGAAACTTGTTCCCAAAAATTTATACTGTTCCCAGGATTATGTCCTGGAATTGATTAAAATTCTAGGATGGGTTCCAAGTTAGAGAGAGGTTAGTAAACCTGGAATGAGAAAGAAAGCAACTCCAGTAAAATTTAAATTGTAAGCTGCATTGTGGTGCCACAGTGACTGGCTTTGTCACAATGCACAAGTAACGCACCTTATCTTCAAAACAGAGTGTGACACTTGAGCAGGCATCGTGTCAGACTTCTGAAGACGTGCTAGAACAAGACCTATGAATAACTTTGAAATATGGTGTATTACAGCTATAAAGACACCAGACTGTCTGTATTTAGACCTGCTGCCTCCTGTAACTCGAATCCTTGATGCAGTTGACCTCAGGCTCATGGAAGCAGTCACTCTATCAGCACTTACACACAGCACTGAGACCCCCCTGGTATCTCAGGCCAGGGGAGGGGAGGTCACGCTAACAGAGCAGGGAGACTAGCCAGGCTCCAAGTCAGTTAATCCTCATCTTCCTGAGCACCAACCAATGAGTTCTTGCTGAAAGTCCTTCCCTTTTGCCAAGTATAGACACACTGGTTTCCACAGCACCACTCTAAGCAAGCCATTATCTGGGTTCTTGCAAGCATGCAGAAGCAGATTGTTTCAGAGAATTCCTTGGTGAAAACAAAAGAGGCTTTTTTCACACAAGCTGCTACTACTTGCAGGAATTTCTTCTGGCCCTGCCGATATCAAGCACATGAGAAGTATCACAACACCAGAAAAAGGGCATCTCCTTCCCCTGCAGAGCATCCATCAGCCCAGGAGACACATCCTCCAGAATAACCCTGAAGTACCAATATGAAACAAGCATATACCTGGCCAGAAGATTGCCCTTCCACCTTGCAATATCCCTCACACTATTCATGACATGTCACCACAAGCACAGGCAGCGAGGACAGGGGCAAGTGACCCCCTGCCTCCAGCTCCTTCACTAATGCAGTTATCCACATGCTGCTGGACTTAAAAGGAAGCACTTCATGCTTTGCTGCCCAACTGATGCTGCTCAGACAGCAATCACCTCCCCCAAAGACACAAACAGAGGTGGGACAGGCAGAGACAATGTGGCTGGGGACGCCACTCCCGTGCCTCCTGCTATGCTGAGCACTAAGCATGAGAAGCAATACAGCAATGCCCTCCCAGGCGGGGCACACACACAAACCCCTCACCATCGTGCCATCCCCACACTTGATGCCTGACCCCTGACCTCAAGGCAGGGTAGGTCTTAAGCATCTGCAGTGAAGCTACTGATTTTATCTCTTATTATCCACACCAGATGCAGCTCCTCAGTCCATTTTTCAATGACCCAAGTTGCTGTAGCAGGTGTGTGTGGTGTGAGGTAAAGATGGTCCAGGTAAGGATAGTTGAGGGACACTGCCCAAGCCCTGCACCTCAGCATGTGGCCTTGAGGACCGGAATGTCTCCAGGCACAGCCTCAGGTATGACAGCAGCTGATGCTACACAAGCTGGGGTTGTTCCTGATCTGTCACATGGTCCCTCACACCCTTTGGAGAGATGCAAGCCCAGAGTCCGTTCCCACAACAACCTGTCTGTTTGAGCACCGCTCTGGGGCTCCTGGAGAGCTCACCACACCTCACCTACAAAGCAGAGGGGGTGACCAGCCCCCTTCCTATCCATGGGCATTTATGTACCACGCTTCGTGCCACTGGAATCAAACACAACCGTGCACAGGGGACCGTGCCTGGGCAGCACAGACGTGGTCTGTCTTCCCTGTGATCCCTCTGCTACTCAAAATTGTGGATGTCACTGCTCCCAACCAGATACAAAGGAATGCTGATTAACTGCTGTAGGAGTGTTTGCTTTACCTTTTTACAGCACATTATGGAGGCTCATTTAAAGATTAACAGATTCTAAAGGCAGAACAAACCATTTAGCCCTCTTCCGAGGGCAGAAAGGTTTCCACTCCATAAAGTTAACCCAGACAAAAAAATGGGGCAGATCTGGTATCTGATTTTAAATGTATTACAGGTCACTTAAAAAGAAGTTTATTTCTGGGAACCAGCTGTCTCTGAAAAATTCAATTTGCCCTGCATCTGACCCTGATGTAAGTGAGCACAGCCTTTGGTCTGCTGTGTTCTATAACAGCTGACTTCAGCCACTCAGGGGTCCCCAGTCAGACGAGGGTCATCTCAGGGGAGCAGACTTGTATTCAGAAACATGATATCTCCCTCCATAAATGCAGGAAGAGGTCACCAAAGGAACCAATTTATGTCACCTTGTTTTCCAAGGAAGTTTCAGCTGTGTTCAAGAAAGCCCACGGCAAAAGGAGTCAAAACAACATGCAAAATCTGACCCACAATCTTCATACAACCTCTCAGCATCTCTTTAAGAGCACATTAGGAACAAGACAAACCGTTACACAGATTGCACTTCTGTGAAATTTCATGCTTTTGTGGAGAAGAGAAGAATTTTCTTAGTTTTGTTTATGTTAAGCTAGCAAACATCACAGGAACTGGCAGCAGGAGTTCCTAGGGGCCTGTCTCCAAGGAAACTCAAAATAACTAAAATCACACCTTATTTATTTTGATGCAGACTTGCCAAAGGTCACTCTCACTCGAGAACTGAGGTGTGGTTTGTTTCAACATCAGTCACATTTAACATAAACTGCTCTTGTATGCAGTGACAGCAGCAAGCCAGCAGCTGACGGTGCTTTTGTCCAGAGAGGAGCAGGCTCCCTCAATCCCACTTCCCATGAGGAGAGACTAACCAGTTTCCATGCTGGTAACAGCTGAGAGCCCAAGGACAGCCACTTCAGCCCAGCAGGCCAGTGGTTTCTAAGGAGTGACCTGCTGTATCACAGGAAGTGATTTAATGAACCTGAGTCAACACATTACAGAGCTGCCCATGGGTGCAGAGCTCCCAGCCATCTGCAACTTCACTGAAAAGATTTTAGGCATCTATAAATTGAAAAACTGCAATTAAGCTGACTGAATCACTAACATAAGAGGACTTCTAGCCTAAATGCATGCATGCACCAAATACTGAGTCTTGCTTGATGATCAGACATAACGTCCACTACCAAAGGCAAGACTGGATCCATCACAAGTAGACACAGGGGTCCAAAATTTTTTTAAAAAACAACAGAATTTCCAATAAAGTGTTAATAAGAAACCTCAGTTACCTATATCCAGCTGTCAAAAGCAAAAAATAACCAGTACATCCTTGCAGCTAATCTGTTTCACCAGAAAAGCACTTGTGATGGGGTGAGGTATGGGTAAGAGATCCAAACTACCAAACTGGAGCTGGAGCACCTCAGAGGAAGCTGAGAAGAGGAAAAGAAGGAAGGAAGGTGTCCTCTTAGCAGTGCTGATATTCAGGCAAAAAACAAGGCTACATTCTGAGAGGCTGGAATGAAGGAAGAACATAGCATTCTCACCATGTCCAAACACTGGACCTGTTATCAAATGAAAACAATTCTCAGAAAAACACGTGTGCTTTTCTGATTAAGAATATTTACTCTTCTCTTCAGGGAAAACATGTACACTGATTTGTTACTACACTCAGCCCTCATCCAGGGCTGGAATTTCCAGACATTCAAATCACTTCCTAATACAAGGCTGTGCTGCTTTTCTGTCATACTATCTACCATGCATCATGTTTTAAATACCTAGTAGACAAAATGCATACACAGCATATAACTGAGGATGGAGGTACTTTATATATAGCTCTTCCTTCTTCCAAGATCATATTAAGCAGACAGTCCAAAACATAGGAATGGTACCTGCAGGCCTGCCAGTCCCATAGTGGTACCAACAACCTTGGATCAGCAGTCTCCAATCAGCCACACAACCAGGCAGCTCACTTGTGATTCTCAAAACAGCACACATTGTCAAATCAGCAAAATCAGCTTCAAAAGCTTGCAGAAATCTCCACAGAGGCACAAATCACACTGTGGCTACGTGTGCTGCACACACCCTACAGCTTTGTGTTTGGTGAAGGGTCTGATCCAGAGAACAGGGCACTCAGGATGAAAGCATAAGCTGTAGAGATGCTAAGCAAAATCCAAAAGGCAAAAAGACCTGCTTAGGAAGGCAGGAGGAGAAACACAGCCAGACAGCCTGTGTTTCCCCACAGGGCCAGGGAGCAGACACAGCTCAGCTGCCTGTGTAGATACAGATGCTACTTTTTTCTCAGGAGAATTACCATGGATGAAAACCTACCGGTTGGGGCTGAGATTTGGACCTCAGCCCTGCCAGTGCCGCGAGGCATCGTGGTATTGGAGATAAAATAAACAAACATGAGCAGTTTCCCTGTTCCTCACTGCAGTCTGCTGTGCACTTCTGGCACAAAATAACTGCAGTGTTCTGGTGGCAGCATGCAATAAAACAGTTGCTCAAATACTTTCCATAGTGAACAGGTTACATTGCTGCCAGTACTGTGCTCTGCACAAGTGTCCCAGTAAGGAAATACAAGCTGGTGTCCCACTTTAGAATGGAGACAGACAAAACCAAATTCAAACAAAAAT